TAACCTGCAGTTCCGGAAGAAGGATTGAAAAGGTTTGAGGTGCTCTAACTCCCCTCCGTCTATTCGATTGTATCATGTTCACTGTCATATACTGTACAACTTTGTAAAAGTATCATCCTGTAACAATATCAACGGCCGTGGGCGTATATTCTGGAAGAGGCCCGTTAAGTAAAACTTATCATCACTTTCACGAAGTTTTGAATAGTCGATTGAGGGCATATTATTGTATATCATATCCATCATGGTGATTCCATGACGTGAGCGCTCCTAATAAGACAAGCAGAAGAACCTCCCAAGTCATTCTCATCCTAATTCATTCTTCCATTCCTTTCCTTTCCTTGATCACATCCCATTCACATCCCATTCACATCCCATTCAGAAGATATATCGTTCTTCAGGATCTCTTCCACTGTCCAGCATCCTCAGCTCCCTTCCCAACCGAATTCAGCGCGCCCGACAGGCCCTGCCCGAGGTTGGAGATACCATCGCCCACGGGTCGGCCAGCGGACCCCGTCGCGCTGGTGATGGTGTCGCCAACGCCCTGGGTCGCGGCGCCGGTGACGTTGCCGACGGTGCGGGTGACGCCGCCGACGGTGTTACCGAGGGCCGAGGTGACGAATTTGGCACCGCCCGTGACGCCTGCGTTCTGGTCGTTGTTTCCGACGGGCATTTTGGGGAAAATGGGTTTGTGTTGTTGAGAGGTGGGTACGAGTTTGTTTAAGAGGGGGACGTCTTTTATCTTGGTTTGGTTGTGTTGTTTGTTGAATGCTGGCATGCGATGGGTTGGTTGCTTTTTGGTTGTAATGGAAAGATATCAGACAGGATGGGAGTGGAAGTAGAGCTGGCTGAGGCCCTTCTTATGGATTGTTCAATGTTGGATGGTCAGGTTGCTTTGTGGGTGAGGAAGGAAGGTGAGCTCCCGTCTGGACTGATAGAGTGTGACGTCAGAGGTGCAGGTGCGGGATGGAAAGCTCAGGGACCACCCCCCCCCCCTGTCCCAGGTAATCTGATCAGGCAGGCGGGGGTGTGAATCGCACCTATCAAAGCTTCCACCTTTCCACATTTTCGTCGTCAGATTTGACATCACACACCATTGCACTGCATCGTCTCAGACAGGGATGTGCCCGTGGGTGTGCGGCCGTCCGGGCTGACGACATTGTTCTAGCCTGTTGGAGAACACATACCGAAGTTGATGATCGGCTTTCTTGAAGCTATGATTCTTAGTGACGGAGACATGGGGTTGTGGGATTAGTTTTGATTGGGGGAGGGTAGTTTTGAGTTTTGGAGGCCCAGCTATGCAGGGCTTCTGGCTATGTATCTGTCTTGTGGCAGTGCTCTGGGATTCGGGGAAGGTGGCTTGACTTGAGTGGATGGGATATGCTCTGCTGCTATGGGAGGTGAGCCTACTTCCCTCGATGCGCATGTGAATTTGTTCTCTGCCGTGCTCTCTACCTGATCTCATCTACAACGTCCAATGGTACTTGGCGAGGGCCATACACCGATGCATGTTTTGCATGATTGGTGGATGCGGAGTAACGTAGAGCTTTGATAGCAGTGTTGGCCTCTTCCCTTACTTTGGCTTCATCAGAGACGACTTGCCTGGCACGCCTGGGTCTCAGACCGAAGGCTAGAAGTAGAAGGCCTTAAAACACGGATCAGGGACCTGCGGACTCGAGATATCTAGACGGGATGTCGATTCGCTGACAAGTTGCTTTCCTGATGGGTTTCCTCACCACTGCGCCTTCTTGATAAACATGCCAAAAGTGATTGCAGAGCCTGGACGAGTCTTTCAATGCCTTGACTGTGTCTTGGCTCATGTGGTCAACTCTTCATGTGCCTAAAATCCTTCTCACCCTGGCAGACAGTTTCTCCAAGATTGGAGTCCGCCGCTCGTCTTGAAGAACGTTGCACACGTGGAAGGTTGATGGTCTCCACCAAGCTAGCACGGGAACCCGTGGCGGCACGATCTGCCAGATCGACGCCATTGAAGACAAGACCAGTCGTGACACAGACTAGCTTTTAAGACCCGTCGCGTTCTAAGGCGCTAGCTGGATTTGCTCTGCAGTTGGTGTTGTCTCAGGCGCGGAGCCGCTAGCTCGCTCGCATACCAACAGCAAAGGGGTGAAGGCTTCAAGCCAAATTTATTCTCCGTCTTTGACATCCTTACTGGCCGCTGATTGAAGATGAGGGCCGAAGGGCCATGGTAAAACACCGAATTACGTACTTTACGGCTGTTTGTGTATCTTACGAGCAGAAACGTCTTGGCCGAGTGTCATAGAAAAATATTCACCAATATAAAGAAGCGTTCATCAATGCAAACACCTGTCTAATTGCCTCCAGCAACATTCAGAGTCTCGCACTGGATGCGGGCACGTTTTCGATCAATCGCAATATTCATTGGAGTCCCTGATAAGCTCTATCAGATGGGCAGAAGGACCGTCTTCTGCTGAATCTGATAGTAGTTTAGAGGCGTCCTACACGGCTTAGAGCGTCTTATGTAGTATTCCGAAAGGTATACTTGTTCGGTGATGTAGATTGATGAATGATTAGTAGATCTGAGGGTGCCTTGAAGTCGTGCTGACTGCCGAAACGGAAATTTCTTCAATGCAGAACGTAGGAGCCGTTATCCTTCAAGCCAATCAAACGCCCGTTACATCGTCTCTTCTTGAAGTTCAGAACGATGACTCCTCCCTTTGGTAAGAACTCTAAAGAGAGGAAAGGAGAAGAGTTGCCTAGTATATGTACCTCAAGATGAGCCTTCGAAGCAATTTGCACTCCCATATTGCCCACTCTTACCCTCTCTGCCAAGGAGGGTTTTGAACTTGAGGCTACTATGACCAAGAAGCCGAAAATCAGTCCCGGCGTGTAGATATTCCATCCTCCCTTCCGGCCAAGAGCATCATTCTCTGGCGGAGCAGTCAACCCAATTCAAACAGTCTTTTGCTGACGCCCTGCATCACTTCCACATGAAGTAAAGGTATCTTAGACCGGGAGACCCCGAATAAAATCTTGGATTACACTCGTTAAAGAAACGAAAAAGAAAAAAAGAGAAATGGCAAAGAAAGGAGTAAGGGGAAAAGGGTTCCAAGATTCAAACAGTCGTTGCTTCTCTTCAATCCGCAACTCATGGTATCGCTTCTTATGCTGGACCGTACTCTCCTAGGCCAACACCTTTCACCTCCAGGTAAATGCCATCAATGTTTCAGCTGGTGAAGCAGAAGCCTGCCTTTAAGAATGACAGTCCCTCCCTAATCGTCACAATTTCTCCTCACTTTCTCCTCGCTTTCTCCTTGAAAATTTCAGCCCACTCTGTCCTCGCTATCCCATGCCTGGATATTGTGACGTCCAATCCCAACAGTAGCCCATATCAACACATAGCCGCCTGGATGTAGGATCCATAATACCGGTCCAATGGGGCGTTCACATCCATCCATAGCTAGTCTGTGAGATCTCATCTTCGTTCTTAGCCGTGCTGCCAGTCCAAACAACACTATGGCTATGGTCTCAACATCTTGAGTCCGAGGAAGTCATTGATGGCGGTAGCATCTTGAAGTTCCGATACAAGACTCTTGAAGAAATTCTACCGAGCGCAGGCATGAAGGACACCGAGGAGACGAGGGCGACGCTGCGCTGACTTGAGCCCATGACTTGAAATTTTGCGGTAAGCACACGAGTTGCGAAGAAGGGTGAAACTGCAGTTCCTTGGAGTAACAGTTCCGTATGAGTAGATAAGGAAGGCTTGAAATTGAATGTTGAAATATAGATACGTAGAAATCGCAGCGTGAGAGTGGATGGATAGACCACCCTCAACATCTGAAGGGGTGGGCTGATGTTACACGGTTTGCGTGGTCGAAGCTGAAGAGACCTTGGATACAGAGCCAGGAAACAGAGTCTGAGAGTGAAATGTCACTTGGACGGACTTCGATATCATCATCTCTGTATTAGAGCTAAAAACTCATGATAGCGTACGAGGGATGTACGCTGTTTCGTGTGAAAGGTTATGTATACGAAGCGTCTCTTGAGAAACTAGATAGACTCAGATGAACCAAGCTCCACTCGGATGAAAGAAGATCATGCAGGAACCAGAAAGTATGCCAATCTGGACGCTATCTCGCGGGCACACTTTCGCAGTTCCCACCTAAACTGTAGCCGTTATCTTAGAGAAATGGAGCTTGGAGCTTGGGGTTCGCCAACAACTTCGTGCCAGTGGTTGAAGAGAGATAACTTTCCATCTGGAAGTGATATCTTTGTTGAGTTTCCATCAAGTGAGCTGCTGGGTAAAGCAGAATTGGCTTGAATTATGGCCGGTGGCTCAAGACAGGCCAATAGCTGACAGTACCAAGTCAATCTTGCGCAGCCTCGCCTTGCTCAACGCTGTTCTATTCTGTCGTATGATGCCAACAGGGTCATCCCATTGGTTTCTTTGCACTGCCACAAGTGCCTGAAAACGAGAAGCAACACCGTCTTTAGCTTCAATAGAAAAGCCTGATTCTGATGAGGGGTTAAAAAAACGGGTACGCACTAGGGAACCACGTAACGCCTCTCAAAGTTAAGGCATGACCCGTGTGGGATGTACGCGACCCGGGTTCAAACGCGCCCTTCAAGGTCCCTCGTAGCTCCTCGTAGCTGTACGAAAGCTGGGTACGAGCTTTCGGAGCATTGATCCCGAGCTGGCAAAGCTTAGGCAGCTACGGGGAATGGACAATCTAATTGCGGCTCGCGCTTATCATGCATTGGGTACCCACGAGGACCGTAAAGAAAGGAATGCCGTCATCGGCTAGTTGTTAAAGCAATTGAGTTGGTGGTCTGAAACGGAGGCATCGAGATGGTTGAGCTTGGGGCGTAGAGCGGTGGCCCCATTTTCCCATGGTAAAGTCTTGGTCATGCATTGAGGTACTCATCCACATTAGCATAAATCGATTGCAGTTCTTCTCCTCTCCTTCTCTGCGTGAGAATCTCTCTTTCTTCAAGATTCTTCAAACTCTTGCCCAATCATCATCATGTTTCCCGATAATCTCACCTCCAGCGGCAACATCTCCGGGTTTATGGTGGTGAAAGATGCATCCGCGGCGCTCCTCTCGCCATGGACAACATTCGACAAGGTCTACAAGTCGGTTATGGGATACCCTGCCAGCGACTTCGAATTTGTGTACGGACGGACACCACTCTCGACTTTCACTGAAGCCATGACTCTGGTGGTGCTGTATCTTGTAGTCGTTTTTGGCGGCCGGGAGGTAATGCGCAATCGCAAACCGCTGGAGCTGAACACGCTCTTCAAAATTCACAATCTCTTCCTGTCTCTTCTCAGCGGAGCTCTGCTGGTGCTGTTCGTCGAACAAGTTGCACCAAGCTTGTGGCAGAAGGGCATCTACGAATGTATCTGCGGACCCTCGGGCTGGACACAACAACTGGTTGTTCTCTACTACGTGAGTAATATAACAGAACCACCTCCAACCAAGAACATGAGCTTACCTTTTCCTGGTAGATCAACTACCTCACGAAATACTACGAGCTCATCGACACCGTCTTCCTGATGCTCAAGAAGAAACCGCTTACCTTCCTCCACTGCTATCACCACCCGGCCACCGCGCTCCTCTGCTTCAGCCAGCTGATCGGAGGAACCCCGCTGTCTTGGGTGCCCATCACGCTCAACCTGACGGTGCACGTTGTCATGTATTGGTATTACTTCCAGACCGCGCGGGGCATCAAGGTGTGGTGGAAGCAGTGGATCACCGTCTTGCAGATTACCCAGTTCGTGCTGGACCTTGGTGAGTCGAATGGTTTCCCCCAACTCACTCAAAATGCCAGTGACGCATGTGGTGACTATACCAATGCTAATTCGCGTCGACAGGTTTCGTCTACTTTGGCTTCTACGACGTCTTCGCAGACACGTACTTCAAGGAGATCCTCCCCCACGTCGGTCGGTGCGGCGGCGAATTCTACTCAGCCGTGACTGGTGGCGCCATCCTGACGTCGTACCTGATTCTCTTCATCATGTTCTACATTTCAACGTACAAGAAGGGCGGTCGCAGCAAGGCGGCTGCGTCGCAAAAGTCCAACAAGCCGGCCGCTGTCCTCAACGAAAAGAAGGCCTTGGCGGCGGCTGACCTTGGGAGGTAAGAACGCCACGGTCGAGCTCGAGACCTGAAGAAACTTTCAACTCAGCTCAGCTTTTTATTTTGCGTTTTTATTTTGGACAAAGCATGAACCCATAGAATACCATAGACACGTCAGCATTGTTGGTCGGGTGGCCCTTGGAATTGAGCCCGGTGCTCGGGCCAGATCTTCAAGGCGTGAGGGGGAGGACGAGAGGAGACGAAATACCTGGTTGGTGCTATTGGTGGCGGTGACGGTGACGTTGGTGGGCATAAGTATTGATTGAGGTTCGAAAGCAGGGCGGGAGTTTACTCCGGATTGTGGAACAAATCACATGAGTTTATTAAGAGAGTGTGCCCATGTCTGACTGTATGCAAAAGTGAAATGCCATGTTGGACGGTGAAAGGTTGGTGGGGGGCATGGGGGAGAAAAACATCTGAAGTTGTGCGGTCTGCGGTCTGCGGTCTGCCGGAGTGAGGCGGGTCGATGGATTTAGAATTACGGGCTGCGGGCCTTCAAGGTGTGATGGGATCGTCTGGGGAATCCTGGTCCGCAGATCGCGCTAGTACGAATACGATCAGAATCCAACATGCTGACTCTCGAGGCCATTCTTCCTTACCTCTGCCCACTCAACAGGTGTTCTCGAGTACTCAGAGTGCTAGATTTTGTGTCTATCAGTTTGGATTATGAATGACGCCAAGAATGAATAAAAAACGTATCACTGGCGTGAACAATAGCCTCATGCGTCCCGGACTGTTGAAGTACTGCCATGATGTCACCGCCATGGAAGTAGGTGTTGTTAGGTATGTGCGCCTTAGTTTGGAGTCAAATAACGGAAAGGAATCACATGCAATTGAAGCTGAGCTTATCCTCAATCTTGCCAAGCATATGCTGCATTTGTGGTGACTTCGTTGGATGAAGGACTTGGGCTAAGCGCTTGTAGCAGGATGGTTTGCCACAGGATGGACAGCATCAAGGTGACGAAGTGCAGACAAGCCTCCCCTTTGATTCAATTCTGAGCTTCTTTTAACCTCCTACACTAAGATCGTGATCAATAATCCCGTAGGCTGGCGTTACCAAGTAAATGCCATACTTGGTGAGGTTTGAGCAGTCCCAACAACGCTAGCCATTAATGAATGGAAGAATGATACGGCATCATCAATCAGGTCTTGAAGCCTGCTGAAGGTCAAGAGTGAAAGAATGACGGAGTGATAGAAAGAAAGGGGTAAAATAAAAAAGCTTGCATGGTGACTCGAAAGTAAAAGCTACCGAAAACGGTAGCGCTGCACTTCAAGATTAAGGGTATAATCATCTTAAGCTTCTGGGCAGAAGTCCCTTTTGTTTCTGTAACTGACGAAAAGTTGGTCAGTCGCTCCCTATAAACCACCATAGACAAGTCTGATATTTTCGGCTGAGCATCCGCTGCCCTCGACTCTGATTCATCACCGAGGCTGTGTCGAAGTCTGCCCCCGCTGCTCACCCGAACGAAATACGAACATCCAAGACTCCCCAAAATTACCAAGACGAAAGTCACTGCAAATGCACGGCTCGGCCAAGCAAGCAATGAATTTGCAGAGCACTCTGTATTTCCGTTTTCTCTCCGATGATGACGAGGACACCAACTACCTTCTCTGGACACCGTGTTTCATGCTGCCCCCCAATCCATTGTCTTCGGTTCCGACAAACAAAGATATCGGCCCCGGAATCCCGTCTAGTTTGAAATTCCACGGCGCCAGCGCCGCGAATGGCATCCTCCCCCGCCACTCTTCCCCTCACCATGTCCTAGCGCCCCCTCGACTGCTGCTTTGTGCTTTGTTCGATCCTCAACAACAGCCCACCAGCCCCATGGTTCTAACGGGGGGTCCCCGCGGTTCATTGAAAGATGATGGCCGTCAGAAATGGAGTGCTAGTAATGGCACCACAAACTTGGCTGATTTAGTCATGGATCTGGCAATCGGTGCCAGTCTTGCCCATGAGCTGCATGGCATGCTGCCTCCTGTCTCACAACCGATATTCTCTACAGACCCATACCTGCCGACATCGGGCAGTCATGTTTGCTAGCTCAGCCCATCACTTTGGGATCTCACATCCAGCCGTTCGTAAAACGCCCCCAGCAGCAAGTACGTTCAACGCGAGGCCATTCCCAAACGGGACTAATAACACTTTCTGCGTAGCTGAGGATGTTCTGCCATTGTTTCTGGGCGCCACTGATGATCTAGACAGTCAATGAACTGCAGGGAATGAACTAGCGATGAGGCTAGATTGAGACTATGAGTAGTCTCTGGCTGCTCCTCTTAAGCTGAAGGGGGTAGCTTCCAGATATTTGAACATTCTGCGATGCTCAACCACACCTTTTTCTTGAACCTGGAACTTACCCAAAAATCATTCATACAGACGATTGTGCCGTCCCACTTATGAAGTTCCAAAGTTCGTTGAGCATACGAGACGACGACAAGATGGAGAAAGATGCTGAAAAGCGAGAGCCTGTAGCTGAAAACGGTGTAATCCAGACCAAAAGGCCATCACTCGGATCTAGGCCATCCTCAGAGTTTCTCGGCGAGGAGCGCTCGCGAATCTCAATCATACACTCCCACGCTACTCCTCTACCTGGCCTCGACGACAATTTATGTTCATCCTATTCAGAGGAGAATGATAACGACGGGGAGGACATTCTCCCACAGACCCTGACGGAAGAGTGGGAAGAAAAAGTTCGCCATTCACAGGATCATCCCTCTGCCGCCGGAGCCGTGATGAAGAGGGTGACCGATGTGACGGACGAAGAGACACGCAAGAGTAACAGCGTACTTTCGATAGCATCTCAGAGCTTCTACAATGAAAACCACTGCCGTCGCCACGACTCCATCAGATCCTCAGTTACCCTGACCAACGGGCCACGACCGCCGGCGATCCCCCGACGAGTATCATCCCTACGACAACCCGGCGCCGTACACATGACCCCCCGCGAAGACTCGATCTCGCCCACGCAAATTCAGCACGCATTCCCCTTAGCCATGAAGAGAGTCCCGTCACACACCGTCTCAGACTCACATACCCTCTCTAGAACAGACGACGTAGAACGCAACGCCTTCTCGCCACCTCACGCCGAGTCCGCGTCAATCATCTCGTCCATATTCGCCTCGCCACTCCGGCACCTGGCGAGCCACCCGTCTCTTCACGGGTCCATAACAAGTAGTGGGCCACGGGGGATGGGGCAGCAGGGTCTCACACCCGTCACGGAGCAGAGACACCCCGGCAAGGCCGATGCCCGGATTAGCCGCTTCACGAGACCGTTTGAGCCGGATATTGACGAGATTGATGGCGGGGACTACCAGCGCCAAGTGACGTATCTCGATATGGCGAGGGCGGAGAAGCATGGTGCCGTGTCGTCGCCGTCTTCGGGCCGCGAGGTTGAAGGGGAGCAGTGGGTGGAAGGATGCCGGCTCGCGGTTCTGATCATTGGGATCTGTCTGGCGGTGTTTTCCATCTCGGCCGATCGAACTATCCTCACAACTGTAAGTCATAATCTCATGTACTAACATGCCCCAAGACTGACCGGGCATTAGGCCATTCCGTACATCACATCAGATTTCCAATCCACCGCAGACATTGGCTGGTACGGCTCAGCTCACCTCCTCACGATCTGTGCCTTCCAGCCTGTCTTTGGCAGAGTCTTCATGCTCTTCTCCGTGAAGTGGGCATACGTCCTCGCCATGCTCATGTTCCTTGCTGGATCGCTCATCTGTGGCCTCGCCCCCGACTCTCTCGCGCTCATCGTGGGACGTGCCGTAGCTGGTTTGGGAAGCGCCGGGATTCTGACTGGGAGCTTTGTTATCGTCGCAACGGCGGTTCCCGTGAGGGTGCGGCCAGTTTATACGGCCATCATCGGAGTGATGTAAGAAGCCTCCATCTAAAGACAGAGAATACTTCAAGACGTGTTGATACTAACGCATCGACAGTTTTGGCCTTGGCGCCACAGTCGCTCCCCTGCTCGGAGGTGTCTTTACTGACCTTGTCGTGAGTGATCTCGCGGCTCTAACTGTTTGCGAAGCCAAGGACTGACTCCCTCCCCAGACGTGGCGATGGTGTTTCTACATCAACCTCCCCATCGTAGGCTTCACCCTCATCGTCTTTCTCTTCTTCTTCCACCCTCAACAGCAAGCGCAACACAAACAAACCTTCTTCAACAGAGTTCTAGACCTAGACCTGATAGGCAATGTACTCCTCCTCGGAGCCTGCGTAATGCTCTTCCTCGCCCTCCAGTACATCACCCAAGGCGAAGCCCTGTCGAGCACAAAGATCATCGGCCTCCTCTCAGGTACCGGCGCAACAGCCATTGTCTTCGTGGCATGGCAGTGGTGGAAGCAGGACGGCGCGCTCTTCCCACCAGCCATCATCACGCAGCGAACCGTGGCCGCCTCCTGCGTCGCGGCCTTCGCCACGTACGGGGCTCTCCTCATCCACATCTACTTCCTACCAATTTGGTTTCAGGCAGTCCGCGGTGAAAGCGCCGTATCCTCTGGCGTGGATATGCTTCCGTACGTCGCCGCGATAGCCATCTTCTCCCTCCTCGCAGGCATCTTCGTCTCCGTCGTGGGTCACCCCCCAGCCCCGGCAATAATCGGAGGCATGATCGCGACAGCCGGGTGCGGCAAGCTCCTGATGCTCTCGTCCGACACGCCGACGCCTCACTGGATCGGGTTCGAGATCCTCGTCGCGGCGGGCTTCGGGATGGCGATCCAGCAAGGGTTTACCGCTGTGCAGGCCGTCCTGCCGCCGGACGAGGTGCCCGTTGGGACCGCGGCGGTCGTAGCGGCGCAGGCGCTGGGCGGCGCCGTCTTCATGTCTGTCGGGAACGCGCTGTTCCAGAATCACTTGCTGCGGGCTTCAGTGGGGGATGCGGTCCCCGGGGTGGATATCCGGGCGGTGCTCGGGGCCGGGGTGACGGCGTTCCGGACGGTTGTGCCGGAAGAGGCGCTCCCGATGATGGTTTCTGTGTACACTGATGCTCTTCGCGTGGTGTTCACTGCTGCAATCCCGTTGGCTGCCGTTTCGGCCATTGCGGCTTGTTTTATGGAATGGAAATCTGTAAAGGGAGCGAGAGGTGCGTGATAGTCACTGCGACGAGGTGAAGGAAGGGTTGATGATAATGAGCACGTCAATTATGTAGCGTAGCGAGATGAATACCCGCGATTTGCAACAAGCTTATCTCTATGCTTTTTTGGAGCTATTCCCAATTTGTGATTCGTAAAACATGACCCCTGTGGAGCCACCTCTGTTCTGACGAGGGGATCGATGACGATCGCAACCATCCCGGTAAGGGCCGCAAGGCAACAGAATTAACTCCTGGTACCCGTGCAGCTGGTGGAGAGGGACCTGCAGGTGTTTGCAGCAGACCATTCACATAGCGCTCCTGTACAAAGCAGTTTGGTAGTCCTTAGTGTATACCCATAGAAGTCAATGACAACTGGGCTGTGAGAGTCTTGTATTGCGGTCATTTCCAGGAGGCGCGAAACCCGTCTAGTCAAGCCCGTGTGCGGCGTGATTCGTTCAAGCCGTCTAAGGCTGGTCAGGGATGCGAATCCCTCGACCCCAAAATCACTCGCCAAGCGCTGCATGTCTCTAGAGCCCTGGCTTAAAGGTGACTTTGAATGCCCAGCTTGGGCATAGGAACTTGAAGCATAGCCATTGTGCCTGCATGAAGTTACAAGTATTAATCGCAGCGTTCCGTCCCGCACCAAACCAAGACTTTCCTCGCGTTCTCTTTCCGTCGTGCCGACACTCTCTCTCACATTTCTTCAGGATTGCTCGGGGTAGCACCCATCGTTGACAATGCATCTGCCGCTGCTACACAGGCGGCTCCTCGCAGCGGTGCCGTTATTCACGGCGGTGGCGGGCCAGACGTGTTACTGGCCCAACGGCGTCGAAGCGACGCAGGCGGTAGCGTGTCCCGTGGCGGGCGGCACCGAGGTCGCGGCGTGCTGCTTCCAGAATCACTACTGCATGAGCAACGGCCTCTGCTTCTCGCAGACGGAGCTGAGCTTCTACCGCGGCGCATGTACGGATCAGAATTGGACGAGGAGCGGGTGTCCAAAGTACTGCGACAGGGAGGAGATTACTGGCGGAGGTACGAAGTCCTTCTTGGGGAGATATAAAGAAAATCTTCTGTTTTTGGGGTTTGTGTCTTTGGTTCGTTATGGGCTGACTTATACACTAGTTCCCGGCCGACATTGCGGTGTCGCATTATGCGGTGACAATAAGTTCGCATGCCAGAACTCCGGCAACTGCGCAAACTACACATTTAGCGTCCCCGCGGGCCAGATGCTGCTCAACGAGTACCTCAAATCAGACCTCGGCGACCTCGCGACGACGACGGTGACCGCAACCGCGGCAGCAGCAGGACAGAGCACCGGGACCGCCGCAACGTGTTCCGCGACCGCGGCAGAGTCAAGTACCAGCAACGGGATCTCGACGGGCGCGGCGGCGGGGATCGGGGTGGGCATCGGCGCCCCGCTGGCGCTGGCGATCGCGGCACTGACCGTCATGTTGTTGCGCGAGAAGAGGAAGACGAGGGCGGCGCTGTCGAGCCAGGTGGATTCCTCCGGGACGGGCCCGTCGTCGCCGTGGGCCAAGTCGGAGCGGACGGCGTATGTGCCGGTTGAAGTTCATGGACAGCCGGTGCCGAATGAGTTGTCTAGTAACCATGATAGGAGACACGAGCTTTCTTGATGTTTGAGGCTTGAGGATGGCGGGAGGGTTTGGTGGTGTGAATATTCGAGTAGAAATGGGTCTTGCAGACTCTATAAGTGGAAGGTTATCTAGCCAAATATGTGAAATCTATGAATCTTTAGTTCTATTCATGATCGTGCGGTAAGATCATGTTAGCGTTGCGGACAGTTTACCTTCTATATACCCAGATCAACAACGCTCAAGATGCAGGATTGAATCTGTCATGTCATCAGGTTTTGCCCAGATTGAAATCCGACGAAGTTCAGCGGATGGCAACTACAATCCATCCTTGAAATTTTGGGTTACTTGCGACTCTCAATTTACATCATTATTGAGTAACTCTGAGGCCGTTGAAGGTCGCGGAGAAGATACAAGAGACGCTACTGCGAAAGAATCTCTTCGGTAGCTTCGATCTCATGACCACAGGCATCGTGCGTTGCCAACCCAGCGCGGTCGATGCGATCAGTCGGCTTGCTTGTATCTAGGATGATGATATTAAACGCGAGACCAGCTGCTCGGGTCATTGTACGTCCACATGTAAAGGATCAATCTCTTCATTCTTGCACGCCATTTCAACCTCGAGAATCATGGACTATTGTGAATTGCAACTCGGCCACGAGAATCCCTTTCAATCAAATCAGGTTTCTAGACAGCTGCAGCTGCCATTCAGCTTAGACGCAGGCTAGACGCAAGTTATTTCGGTTGACGCGCCAACCGGGCGAAGCATATGCAGGCGCCTCGGCGGCTACAACCCCAAAGACCAGCCAACCACCGCTCACCCGCCCTCACCACCATCGCCATCGGGCGCCGTTTCGAAAAGGGTTCGTTAGTATCTGTAGATGATTCCTGCCGTCGCGATGGCTAGCACTTGAAGCGTTCATCGTACGCTTGGCCCCCCTTTCCCTCCTCCCTCTTCTCACTGTTCGCGCTTTAGGGCTGAGGCTAAATTGCATGGACGGAACGTGGCGTCGCCGGGCGGTCGCCTTTACGCTTCTCACGAGGCAGAGAGACCAATTGTCTCAGGAGAAGGGAAGGTAAGGCTCGGACTGTTCCCAATTCCAAAATAAGTTGTCGGCGCATGGGTTCTCAACTCAATGAGGCATCGTGCAAAGAAAAATGAACCCCCCCCCCCCCCCCCCCACCATGTGGCGCGCCTGCATAGTAAGCTCGGTTGCTGCTTAGAGTACCTTCGTAGCCGGGGTCCAACGGTGTTTTCACCCTTGCGAGCTGAGCTTTCATTCAAGTACTCGGCAGGCAGCCTAATTTCACGATTTCCCTCTTGTTTTTCTCTCTTCCGCTCTTGATGTCCTTCTTTCTGCTCACTCTGTGATCGTCGCGCCCGTTCGCGTTTCGCCTCGTGTTTCCTACTCTTCTGGGAGAAATCCTCAGCAAAAAGAGGAAGTTAAGACAAAACCGTGGAGGATTGCAAAAATGGCCGATCAGATCCAACACCGTCTCCACTCGGAGGCAACGGCCGCGACGCCGGTACCAGCAGATCAACCCGGCCTCGAGGCGGCACCGAGCCGGTACTCCACCGCGCCGATCCCGTACGACCCTTCCGAGTTCCAGAGCCCTTTGGAAAAGTCAACGTGGACAACAATGACGCAGGCCTACCACCCGGCATTTTCTTCCGCCGCCGCGGCAGACGCGCCACCGCCAGAGAGACGGCGCGTTCTGGGCCTGACAGTGCCTGTGTTCTGGGGCCTGGTTATTGCGCTGGTGATTATCCTTGCTGGGGGTGTCGCCGGCGGCGTGGCGGGAGGGTTGGCGGCGCAAAAGGCTGATAGTTCGGCTGTGTCAGTGTAAGTTTACCTGTCCCTCACACTCGCATAGGCAAGATGAGAGCATAGTTGACTGAATCCCAATATCCAAACAGAGATCCATCTTCAACAGCCTCAGCAACAGCAGGCTCTCAATCGGCGCCCACAACCTCAAGCGCAAGTTCAGGTACAGGCGTCCAATCTTCCAGCTCAACAGCAACTTCATCTACAACGCGCTCGATCCCGACGGGCATCCGCTCCGCCCCGACGGACGGCGGCTGCCCGAGCATCAACACGACGACCTACACGCCCACCGACGCCGGCGGCAACGCGATGAAGATTGGCTCTGGGTACTCGACGCAGACCTTCCGTCAGCTCTGCGAGGTGAATTACCCCTCAGGCGCGGCCTACGGCAACCCGGCGCTGTATGATATCCTCAAGGTGTACGTTTCGACGTTTGAGGAGTGTATGGCGCTGTGTGCGGCGCATAACCAGGCGTATGGGAGTAATCTTGCCAGCGGGGATGTCAAGGCGGGAGGGTATTGTCGGTCTGTTGCAATGATTAAGTTGCCGGGGGAGTATTGTTACCTGAAGAATGGTACTGGCAAGATGGACACGCAGGGGCACGCCAAGGATTTTGTTAGTGGTGTTGTTATTTCTGGGCTGCCCGATGCGTAGGGTGTTGAGAGCGTGGGGAATGGGATGCCTGGGACCTTTGGGTTGGGGGGGAAGGCAGGAATAATGACATCTATCCAACGGTTATCATCTTGATAGCCGGCCCTTAATGTATACACTTGAACCCTGTGTCATGTGATCAAAATGTGATCCGAGGTTTACCTCTTGATGTTTGCTTAAGATGCAGACGTCTTGCAAGGCTGCATCGTCGGCGGTTGTGGCTCCCAGGCTCTGTATGGCTGATTACCCACCTACCTTACTTAGTAAGAGAGGTATCTCCTTGAGCCAGCGCACTTGCGAAGCGTGAGACCCAACATTTTGGAGAACAGTTCAGAGAAGCATGTGATGTGTGTGAGATGATGAGAAAGCAAATATTTGTGTTCTCAGGGCCAATAGGAGTATGTAGAAATCGACTCATCCCATTGATCGGGTGCGCGATAATTTTGCATACTTGAGCGCAAGGATTGTTGATATATCGCCGACTCCAACGGACTTGGCTCAGTTTTAGGCGTTCGTCTTATGAGGCTGGAGCTTCATTGACGTCAACAATTCCAAATACATACTGATGCGATTGATAAGATTCCCAGCAGCATGAGAACCCTTGTAGAACATAAACTTCCCGACACCGGTGACCACCTCGGTCCACAATTCACGAGAAGACGAAAAGATAGGTACCTAAGGTAGGTACACGGCACACCGTGGTGCAGATTTGTGGCTCGGAGCCGAGTTGCGTCACTCGGAAGAGCCTCGGCAAGTGGGGGCTTACCGACGGAACGGGGAGTCGGCGACTCGGTGCTTAGGTAATCCACGCACTCACGACACAGAACGGCACTCCGATCACGCATCCAGACCACATGCGGTTTGGCTTGGCCGACTGACAGACGCTATGAAATGCACCCTGAATCGTGCGGCAGGCCCCGATTAAAAATTTCTGGAATTCTGGAATCCACCACCACCACCAGCGCAACGCATCAGTGTCCAGATCCCGGCCACCACCATTAGAAATCACAATTCGTGCTTGACTGCTTGTACCACTACTGCTGCTGCTATCTACTTTAGCTGTGCTGTTGCTGCAGAACCACTGTCTGTACTACCACTACCATCCCGGGTCTGCCGTCACGATAGCGGTCCACGAGTTTCCAAGCCTTGATTGGAAGCAAAGCCCGTCGCCGTCGCCGTCCTGCCCCCTACCATTCGTTTTGCCCCTCCACCCCTCCTCTCACACGCCCCCTGGCCTAGGTACCTACTGTGGCACCCCCTCCTCCCCTCTTGCTGTACATATATCTCTCTTTTTCTGATACCCCGCCATTTTTGGAGAGGATAGTGCGTGTTCCTGAACGCGCATATCACCGCCAAACTGTTCTCTTCAACCTTTAGACGAACAATTCTTCGCTCAAGCGCCACTGGTCTATCCTTTGCCGCAGCCACCACATCACTCAAGAAGAACTCTACGAACCCTGCCGAATTAAAGTCAAGTGCCCGCAAAATGCACAGCAAGGTTGTCAGTATGTCACGACTCTCCGTTCCTGCGTTGCCCCTCCTGCCGACCAGCAGAGACAGTCATGCCTCTCAGACATGATCGAACCGCGATGGCCTTCTTCAAGTCTTGCAATGCGCCTTTGCTAACTTCATGCCACAGTCATTGGCTCTGGGCCTGCTGCCCACACCGCCGCCGTCTACCTGGCGCGCGCTGAGCTGAAGCGTAAGTCCCTCCCACTTCCAACTCCAGGACCATCCACTGACGACACTCCCCTTTCCAGCCGTCCTTTACGAGGGCTTCATGGCCAACGGCATCGCCGCCGGCGGTCAGCTCACCACCACCACCGACGTCGAGAACTTCCCCGGTTTCCCCAAGGGCATCATGGGCGGCGAGCTCATGGAGAACATGAAGGCCCAGTCCGAGCGCTTCGGTACCACAATCATCTCCGACACCGTCGCCAACCTCGACCTCTCCTCCCGCCCCTTCAAGTTCTCGACCGAGTTCGAGCCCGAGACGACCCACACCGCCGACGCCGTCATTCTCGCCACGGGAGCCTCCGCCAAGCGCCTCAACCTCCCCGGCGAGGAGAAGTACTGGCAAAACGGCGTCTCCGCCTGCGCCGTCTGCGACGGCGCTGTCCCCATCTTCCGCAACAAGCACCTCGTCGTCATCGGCGGCGGCGACTCGGCCGCCGAGGAGGCCCTCTACCTCACAAAGTACGGCTCCCACGTCACCGTCCTCGTCCGCCGCGACGTCCTCCGCGCCTCGCAGATCATGGCCAAGCGCCTCCTGGCCCACGAGAAGGTGACGGTCCGCTGGAACTCGGCCGGCAAGGAGATCAAGGGCGGCGACGACGGCCTGATGAGCCATCTCGTCGTCAAGGACACCGCCACGGGCGCCGAGGAGACGCTCGAGGCCAACGGTCTCTTCTACGCCATCGGTCACGAGCCCGCGACCTCGCTCGTCAAGGGACAGCTCGAGACCGACGACGAGGGCTACGTCGTCACCAAGCCCGGTACGCCGCTGACCAACATTGAGGGTGTCTTCGCCGCCGGTGACGTCCAGGACAAGAGATACAGACAGGCCATCACCAGTGCCGGTACCGGCTGCATGGCTGCCATGGACGCCGAGAAGTACCTTGCCGAGCTCGAGGACGGCGACCCCAAGGACCCTTCCAACTGACTAGATCATCACCTCTAAATTCAAAAAAAGAAGTGTCGTGAATGGGCTATTTGTGAGCCGCATAATGATATAGAAGAGCCTCTAGACTAGATATGCCGGCAAGAAGCACGAAAAAATAGACTTTTGAATTCAAGCGTATTAAAATCACTGAAGACCAGAAAGGGTGGTATTTTCCCATCACCTCGGAGTCAGATCCGAGTCGACCGAAGCAGATCTCGGAGATATATGCCCCTGACCGCGTCCGCCGGTCGCCTACTTATGGCCGGGCTTTCCCGGATCTGCGGTCCTTGCGGTTACAGCTGCTCTCTTATGCCTTTCCTTTTCCTTGATATTTGTTAGACTACCCCCCAAGCTAAGACGTCAGGGAGGCAACGTTATTATTCAAAGAGCCGCTGTTTCCCTCATAAAAATTCGAGGAATGCGAACAAGGTCGTGTGTCGTCCCAAGTTGTTATGAAGCTTCTGAGCTCAGGTACATTACCCCCCGTCCTCAGTCCAAGGCACCTAACTTGAGAAAGTATTCTTTCGCTGTAGAATTCCAAGTCATCCCTCCCCTCCCCTCCCCCCCTTCCACATCTCGGACTCCTTCTCATCCAAAGAGTCTGCTCGTGCAGAGAGCCAGAAGTGCCCTCCGACCCCCACATGAAGCTTAAAATACCAACAACTGGCTTACCGATACCTAATGCCCCAGAAGTCCAGCGCCCAAAGAAAAGATGCAGAGCCAGCGCATGCGTGTCGCCTCGCTTGACCCACGGGCTTGACGGCTCGACGCTTGACGCCTTGCCCAAAGCATCCCTTTTCATCCACTCGTTGGTCCCATTTTTGCCGCATCGTCCGTTCCCCCATCCCAACTTGTCAATGGACCCGACTCGTAAGGCACGGGAATTAGAGAGAGCAAAAGAAAAAAGTCTCACTATGGGCTCCAATGAGCTCCCGTGGGGCGGGGTAAAGTGAAGTAGCGCAGGCGTTTCAAACCACGCATCGCCCATGATCAGCCCATTATGTACCTTTTACAGTATCTCGTACCATGTGCCGCAAACTGGAGAGAGAAAGAGAGAGTTTCTTCTTTTACTTAAGTTCGCCTTCTTCGTCTTCTCTTTCCCCATCTCCACATTGTGTCAAAACGAAGAAAAAACGCCCGATACCTTTTGATCCTTTGAATGAGCCCATCTCCAACTCAATAGCATTTGAAGAAGCAGCCGCAGAATCCACCGCCCACCCTCTCCCCAGATCGACGATATGCCAAGCAGCAAGGGGTACTCGTACAAGAGCTCTGGATCCAACAGCCAGGTAATTGAGATGAGGTTCTCGTGGAAGCAGAGCAAAAAGTACTCACTGTGGAGGGAAACCAACAGGGTAACTACTCCTGCGCTCGCGATTACGGAAACAGCAGCAGCAGCGGCTCTGCGAACCCAAACTCATACCAGTATCCCAGCGCGTGAGTCTCAATCTTTCTTTACTTTTATCCCTCCTTACCTACTCCTAAATGGACAGCTGGGGGAGAATGTTGCGTGAGGGGCAGGAGAAAGAGGCCTAGCCAAGACCTGACGGAATCCTGACAAACGATGGATAGGAGCGGCTCAATTCACTCCTCGACGCCAAAGAGCGAGAGGTATCAAAACGACGGCAACGGCGGTTCACCGTACACCTCGGCTAGCGGATACCGAACATGCTCCGGGTACGGCAAAAAGTAAGCTTTGAGGGAACCTTGACTTGAGTTGGGTTTACTCCGCACTTTGGGTGACTTGTGACTGACTTGGTTCAAGTGTTGGAATGAAATAATGACGAGGAGGTCTTGTAATGCGTGACGACGGAGCGATTATGTGATTGTATTTGTTGGAATTGGGATGCTGGGCTTTTTTTTTTTTCTTTACCTCTAATGGGATGGATACTATTTGGTTTGGGGGGTTTACGCGCAATTGGGATACCTGTAGCAAGATGCGGTAGCATATGAAATCTGGTTTTCGTTCGGACGTGTAGGATTGAGAGGCGCCTGAGTTCACGAGTGAGTTGGTTGCTTGCGGATGTCACTTGCTTTTTCCATGCAAGCTGATCCCTGAAACGTGGGGGACAGCTGTGCGAGTGAGGGGTTCTCTGGCTCTCATCCCACTCGACTGCCGGTCACAGCGACTCATCGACAACGCGCTTGGGAGAAATCTATTGCCTTTGTACTTTGCAAGCTAGAGGCTATTCCCAAGTATTCAGTTCCGGTCCCTCTGATTTCGTCTCTATGAACATAGATGCTAGGCTCTTATCTCAGCCGAGATAATCACCTTGTTGGTATGGGATCCACCAACATATTGACAGCGACTAGGATGATCCTAGACCGGGTCATCACAGCGGGAGCTTGCTTGGCAGTGGGGGAAAGGGGACATACGACTTATCTCGTCGGAAAAAGCAATATGCCAGCAGTACGCTGCGCTCCGTTGCTGCTTCTTGACACTGGAAACTTGATTGTGATCAGGTATGCATAAAACGGGCAGCAAAGGGGAAGATTGATGCAATCACATGTTCCTGCCTGACTTGATTTTGGAGCTTTGATACGGGCGCCGCGGGAAGGCATATGAGAGCTTCTTGCAAGCCACAAGCAACACACAAAGTAAGGTGAGGTAAGGTAGGTAAGTAGCTTCCCGATTGTCCCTGCCCCGCCAACAGTCAATCCGTGATGCGGGTGGACATGAGAAGGAAAGTATCAATAGAGCTTGCGTGATAAACCATAAGGGTCTTGCCTGGGTACTTAATCTCCCTTTACCTGCTGGTGATCTCGCCCTTTCTTCCCCTCTTCCTCATCTCTTCACAACAACCTTCCGATACCACGCATACAGAACCTTCTCAATCAACCATTTTCGTGTCAAGACCGACAAGCAAACAGTCAAGATGAGCGGTCAGGGTTACGAGTACAAGAGCTCCGGCACCAACAGCGAGGTACTTAAAGATCCCTCTTCCCGGAACCGGCAGAAGCTTCAAGCCATGACTGACGTATCGACTGGCAAACGCAGGGCAACCACTACTGCGCGCGTGATTACGGCAGCAGTGCTTCCAACTCCAACTCCTACCACTACTCTAACACGTGAGTTAAACTTGTTCCTCCTCCTCCTTGTCCGGATGACGATTACTTGTCCGAGGGGGCTACTCTCCCGTACTTCCTATCCTCGAAATAGTATCTCCCGTAGTCAGCCCGTATTAGTCGACATATCAAGGAAAGGAAGGCTGACCAGCTCATCTCAAGTGACGGGTCCTACTACTACTCCAACCCCAACGGCAGCACCTACTACAACGATGGCAACGGCGGTTCCACCTACACCTCTTCTAGCGGCGAGAGAAGCTCATCCGGCTATGGCGGTGGAAGCTCCAGTAGCTCTGGCAAGAAGTGAACTACTGGCATCTGCGTGGCCTATGATGGTATCAAGGGAGTAGATGATATCCAGCAAACGCCCAGAGTTGTAGAAAAACAAGGAGGGGTTTCGGTTCAGTAGCAACGGTGACAGGAAACCTTACGAATTGACATGCTGACATGAACTTTACTTCATCCGCCTGTCCAGTCGTTTGAGAAGTGATATGCAGGAGGTTGAGGGAGACATGGTCTTAGGGCCTGCTTTATCGGGGTGTTCAGCAGGATGCCTCTTTGCCTTCCTAACCAGTGTTAAAGACAACGCCGCAACGGCTATAGAATATTGAGATGGGAGCAAGGTGAGCGGTAGCACCCACACATGTGCGGGTGATGCACATTGGATGAGGATAATGGTTCTGTGATCCTGCCGCATAGACTTAGTATGCCCATGCGTTCTGGCGTGAGCAAGACATATCAAAGCGGTCTACTCAGAACTGATCGTTTTCCGTGACTGACGTATTCGTCACTGATTATATGCTTAACGACGACGGGTTCGGTCCTGTAGAAATTAAGGGTCCCCACTGGATTAAGTAAGATATATAAAGGCGGTCTATTTGGATAGGAGCCCTACCCCAATCCCTAGACATTAAGATAACGCCTTGACAGCTATAAAATGCGGATCCGTAAGCGTAACCTGCGGCAGGCTCAGCAGTAATACTGAACCCGTGTGCGCATGACGCACATAGGGTGAGGCCAGTGGTTCTCCTACCTCAAATAATCAGGATGTTCATTGCTTTTAAACCAAGCAATTGAGACACCAAGGAAGCGGTTCATTAGGATGGGACCCCAAGATACTAATTATTTTCCTTAACGGACGTATTCGTACCTGACGATGAGCTTGATAATGATGGGTTCTTATAAAAGCCAAGATGCCCAGGGCATACTTCGAACTCAAGCAAGACGGACCATATCGCTGGATGCCAAGGTACTGATCGTTTGTTATGACTGACGGATTTGTCACTGACAATGTGCGTGATGATGACGGGTCCCGTGTTAGAATCGAGAATGTCCAGGGATTGCTTTTGAACTCAAGCAAGGCGGCCCGAGTCCCTGGATGCCTAGATACCCATTGTTTCTTGGATAAACGTGTCCATCACTGGCGATGTGCATGATCATACCCCGGTTTCTTTGAAGTCGAGGATGCACAGGGGATGCTTTTTAACTTCAAGCAAGACAAATCGCATCTCTGGATGCCAAGGTGCTGACCGATTCCTGAGACTGACGTATCTATCACGAACTATTTGATGATAACCCGGTTCTTAGGAAATCACAGATGCCCATATCTCTTGAACTAAAGACAATGTGAGTGATAATAAGAGATTCTAGTAATGATCGAATATTGCATACGGCGTATGTGAGATATGGGCAGTGATGACATAAAGGGAGAGGGCAAGATGTGGGCATTCTTAGAGTCTTTGTTATTAACGCTATCGCTCCAGCGATGGCGCCCGAGTCTAAGGCTACGGAGCGGATAGAAAGTCAAAGTTAGCTTGGAGTTGAATGTCCGCTTTATAACCTTGGATAAAAGAGATGCATGTTACAAGGCTGCTAGGTGTAAAGGAAAATTCCTATCGTGCGTGTTGTTTGCAGATTCTGTAGGCTTAGGACTAAAGGGAAGCTCCAACTTTGCTTTAAACGAACCTTTAGTTCATGGCTTGGAGAAAGAAGACCTTTGTTGCAAGGTTGTTACATGCGAAAGACCGACTCTATGATGTCTGTCACTGATCTCCGCAGGTTGTTGATTATAAGGCTGATTGTCATCCCCAAGTAGCAATATAGCATGTCACGACACCGTGACCATAATCTCACTGGGTCAAGTCACTGGCCTTTAGATTCTTCATGGGTTTCATTATTGTTACATATTACGTCGAAGATGAGCTCCAAATAAACTCATACCTGAATCTTGCGTCGTCTATATCGTGACACTTATTCTTATGTCTTCAGTCATCATCTACTCCCCTGAGGTAGCCTCACCGAACAACAGAGCTTTCTTTCGACAGCAAACGAAATGGCATGCCTCTGAAAGTCCACGGTCCCTCTCAGTACCTTTCCCTCTCCTGTCTCCTCATCTCCTCTCGGAAAGCATTACCGCTCTGGGGCTCATGATGCGGGAACGTAGCCGAAACCGGGCTTCCGGCAAGACTTCCCAGGGCATCGCTATCCCTCCGAGCATGGCCGAGACCACCACCGCCACTGTTGATGTTGAGTCCACCAGTATGCTGCCTCTGCTGCTGATCAGGCAGCGGCTCGTCGCGGTACACATACCCATCGGGGCTAATCTCCCTCTGCCTCAACTGAATCCCGCGATCTTTACGTCCGCCATGGAACACGCTCTGCCTCACCTTGGCCCCCAATCTCTGCGCCCTCGACTTACCAACCCCGTACCCGTGCCTCGACCGGCTCATGATATTCCCCAGCCCGATCTTGCGCGTCCTCCGGTTCCAGATACATCCGCCAATGACACAGATAATAATGAACCCAAACACGGTGGGGAGGGCAATGTACAGCTCCGCGCCCTTGGGCATCTTCGCGGCCTCGGGGTGCCACTCCGGCCGCTTGGCGACGAGGACCTGCGGGCCCGTGATGGCGTCCTGCGCGGTGCCGTCGATGGTGTAGGACATGAGGAGCTCGATTGTGGCGTTGTCTTGGCCTGAGGGGATGAGGCTGGAGGAGACGGTCCAGGCGTAGTAGCCGTAGGAGGCCGGGTTCGTGGTGTCTGTGTCGGCGTTGAGGACGATGTCGCCTACTGTTGTGCCGTTTACGGATTTGCCTTGGATCTTGACGTTGACGTTGGTTTTGTTGCCTTTGATGAGGACGGAGGGGTCCCAGGTTACTAGAAGATGAAACGGTCAGTCATCCAGATCCAGCATACTACGTTCATTACCTGTACAGGGAGAGGTGAATCTGAGATGGGAGGTCTTACCATAGTAGGTCCCATCGGTATACAGCGTGCTCCCCTTATTCGGATCGCAAAAGGGTGAAAAGTCCCCCTTGGTGTTACTGCACGGCGCAAAGGCCCCCGCGCCGCTCTTGCTGTCGGCCGTGGCGACGGGCGGGGTGCCCGTGCTGGTGGTGACCTTGACGAGGTGCCAGTCGGTCAGGGTGAAGACGCTGCCCGTCAGGGCGTTGGGAGCGGCGGAGGCGTAGGTGGCTGTGCCGGAGATTGTGGTCGGGACGGGTGTGACGGTCGTGGGGACGCCCTTGTTGTTGACGCTGATCCAGGCGGCGGTGGGAGCGATGACATCGGCGCGGGCGACGAGGGTTGGTTCGGGGGCGGCGATAGGGACGGGAATGGGCGCTGGGATGGCGGCGACGGGGTTGGCGAGGAAGAGGGAGGTGAGTGCGGCGAAGGCTGCCGGGGCGAGGTTGGAGGTGTGCATGTTGAGATTTTGGGAGAGGGCGGAATTGGATCAAGGGTCGGCGATAGCTTCACGAGCTTTGGGCGAGTGGTTCGATCCCGGTGGGTTCAAAGCAATCGAGCGCGTGGAGTTTTGTCAGAACTCAGAAACGAAGGTGATGTCTCGTCGTCAAGGAAGAGACACAGAGACCCAATTGACGATCTCAAAGTCTCGTCCAAATGAATGGAATCAACAGCTCAACGAGTGAGAGAGATAGAGAGTGCGGTGTTGAGTTGACAATCGAGAAGGAGGACGAGACGGGACGACAGGACGGGGAATGATCCAATGTTTACACAGGAACCACAAATGGGACGAACGGGGCGGGATTTTAGCATAAAAAAAGTTGGTTGATCCCCCAGGTCGCGCGGAGGCCAGACGTGTATTCTGCGAGCTTCTCAGTGGATGGTTGACCGTCGACAGGGGGAATGAACCCCACTGCCCGAGATTGGCTTCTCCAAAATACAAAGTTCAGGGGGGGGAAGCAGGCGATGAAAACAGGCTTTGATTCGCGCTGTTTGGGGCCTGGGCTTACGGAGTAGGCCTGCCGGTTTGCCGCGATGCAGGAACCAACTTATCAAGTGGTTAGAAACATTCTTAGCGGTGGCCTTGGCTGTGATTGGACAATTCGGTTGACTTGCGGTGACGACCGTCTTATACGACATCACGACTCACTAGCCAGATCAACTACCATGAAGCAGCTCTCACAACTTTAGGAATCGCTCATGCTCTTGAGACATCAATGTTCGTTATTAAAACGGAAAGAAACGCTTCGGATCAGCGCTATAGTATGGACGCTTTTCCCCATTAACAGTCCCCATTACCAGTCTCTCTTCAGTCCGTTTCCATTATTCATTCCTCGTCGCTCATAATTCGTAGTATCGTGCCGCCAAGTCGATGAGCTCGCGATGTGTGCCAATCTTCAATGATCAATGAGGCCTCATCATCGGACCATGAAACGTCCTCTGCCGCCTCACAGGCACCCTTGCAGCAGGACCCGGCGACGGAACAGCCATAGCCCCATCACCCTCCGTCTCCTTTTCCGCCAAACCCATCCCCTCCACCCGCTTTCCCCGTCCCCTCACAGGCCCCAACCCCTCATCAGGTCTCCCATCGGTAATCATAACTGGTACCCGATTCTGATGCGGCCTCCCGACCTCCAACGGCTCCCGGAACGCCTGTACCGGCCCGGGTCTCCTCTTAAGTCCCATCTTGATCCTCTGCGCGTCAATCTTTTGCTCGTCCGTTCTTCTGTCCAACGTCCCGTCGGCGGCCGCTTGCGAGTCCAGGGCATCTTTGAGTTTGTGGCCTGGGCATGCCGCGTTGGGACACCTGCCCGGGTGGATCTCGGTCTTGACTTCGCCGTCGAGGAAAGGGCAGTTTTGGGGTTTCGGGGTCGAGGCGAGAGGGGTGGTGAAGGTCCATTTGATTTGGCGGTAGGACCAGAGCCAGGCTGTGCAGCGGTGGTAGTGCATGTGCCTGTGGAGGCCGCAGCTTTCGCAGAGGGCGATGGTTTCGGTACACATTTTTCCTCCGTTTCGGAATTGGGGGTTTTGTGAAGGCGGGAGATAGTGTGGGTGACCTGCGAGTTGGTCCTTTGGTGGTGTAGATCAATGGTACGACGAGAGGAAGAAAAGGCGATTGGGCAATTTGCGGTCTCGAGGTTGTGGCAGAGGAGGAAGCAAACCCCGGTCGAAAGCTTCAAATGGTAAGAATCGGAATCGTCGAGGTGTTGTGGCCAGAAGATAGTAGGTGCTTCTCAAGAGTTTGTCGAGGCAGACGGTACCTTCTCTGAGGTGAGGAGAAGCAGCATACAATGGAGGAAAGAGCGACCTTGCTGTTGAAGATGGAGAGCAAGGGAAGGTGTCCACGTCTTCCATCATCTTCGTCCCTTCCTTCTTTGAAATCGCAGGAGTCACATCAGAGGCGGATCACCACAACTGGCCGGCCTGTCACCTGATCCGGCAAGTCGTCCAGTCTCTGGACAATTCCATCCGGAAAGAGGAAGAAGGGGGCATCACCATCCATCTATCCTTCAAGTAAGAAGTTCAAAATTTCTTAAAATTGTTAACAAAACAAAGCCAAGCCAACTCCGCATAGAGGCCGCCCAAGTAAGGACAAATACCCGTTTCACCCTGTAAGTAAAGATGCTTTTACACTTTTGTTTATACCTCCCCTGTCACTCTTTCCCCCGTCTTCCCTGTGTCTTTAGACTTAGTCCCTGTCCTTCTTGGACTTCTTCGCCTTCTTGTGCTTCTTCTCCCCGAGAGCCTCGTCGTAAATCTCGGCTGCCGTCGGGCCGGCCTTGCGCTTCGACTTGGCCGACTTCACGCTGACCACGCCAGTCTTGCCGTCCTTGACGGCCTGCTCAGCTTCGGCCCAGGCGGGGGCATCACCATCAACCTCGTACCTAAGAGTTGATGTCAGTATAGTGCTCTCAAAGCTACGCATTGAAGGAAAGGGGTCTTACTGGTCAAGCGGCAGGGAGTCGATGAGCTCGCGCTGCTTCCTGCGAAGCTTAGCCAGAGCCTCATCGCCTCCCTCTTCAAGCTCGTCCTCGAGAGACGTCTCGAGGGGAACGAACTTCTTGTCGACGACCTCATCATCATGTACCCCAGAAGCATTCTCCCGGCTGACACCAATGGTGTTATTGCTAGGCAGCTCAGCCTCAACGGCGGCGTTGACTAGGGATCCAAAGTGCGTTGTGATCTTGCGGAGAATCTTGATGAACATGGCCAACAGCTGCGACGACGGCAGGGACAGCTCAGTGGAGATGACGTCCATATCCTTCCTCTGCAGACCGATGGCGAGCAGGATGGCCTGCTGGACACCAGTCAACTTGATGTCGCCCTTGAGCTTGCCGGTGAAGTACAGGCCAGCGAGCGTGGGAACGAGATCGAGGATGACGTGGTAGTCCAGCATATTATTGGCGTACGACTCAAGACGCTTCAAGTCGAATGGCGTCAGGAACCTGTCAAGCTCCACCTTTGTCAGGGCCGTGGGCTCAGTGCCGTCGAGCTTGGCGCCAATGCTGGCGGACTCGTCGATGCTGAGCGCAACGACCGACTGGAACTCCCTGAACTGATAAGACAGCAGCGACTGGAAACGACGCTGGAAGTCTCGTGAGAAGGCACCGAGCCATGATCGGTCGGCGCCGGTGTTCTCCAGAGGCCGGATCATGACACACGTGTGCTCGCCCGTCAAGTCGTTGGCCGTCTGTCGCAGGTAGACGGGCGCAAAGGAAGCGCGCTTCCAGAACTTATGGAGCGGCTGCGTCAAGCCGTAACTGACACCGACGTAATCCAGGGCGGCGGGCCTGATCTCAGAGAATCTCGCAAACAGCGGCGGCAGCTTCTTGATATCTCTGATGTGGACGTCGTCAGCCAGCAAAGAGGTATTTGATAGCTCCGCATCCGTAACTCTCGGCAGGGTCTCCTCCATGGCGAGATCGGCATCCTCGGACAGGTTGGTGAACTTTTGCTCGTAAAAGTCGGTCAGGAGCTGCAGGGCCTTGGTGCCGTATCCCATGGACACGTACTCCGGGTTCGTCGCTATCCTTACGACGCGGGCGCCGGAGAGGGAGGCGAACTCGTCGTCCTGGTACTGCTGGCTCACGAGCCAGGGGATCAAGTCACCGGAAGGGCGCTGGCCTCTGCTCAACTGGTTGATGACACTTTGTCTGCTAATCTTTCCTTCCAGTGCGACCTGGATCACACACAGGGGCTCGGGCAGCTTGCCGTCTGATGTAGGGGCGATGAGGACGTAGAGCTCGTGAGCGGGGGCGTCACTCATCAGCTGGAGATCATCGGGAGAGTTCTTGTAGTGACTGGCAACATAAAGGGCGACCATCTGCTGCAGGAACTTCTCGGGGATGGGGTGGAAGGAGAAGAGGGTATCTCTGTTGACCTTGAGCAGCTCGCACTGCGAAGGGTCGGGGCACCCCTGAGCGCTGGCCTTGGCCTTAGGGAGGGTGGCATCTAGGCAGAGAAGCTTGTTCAGCCACTTCTCGACCGAGTCGCCTTGGGCATATCTGATGGGTTCAGACAGGGTGATCTCGCGAAGGGATCGGCTGGACTGGCTCGAGCCCTGATCCTTGGAGGCTCTGCCCGTTGTCCTGTCGGCAACCTCTGTGTCCTCACCAGTCTTGGCTCCAGGTCTTGACTGCTCCCTCAACTGCTTAATCAGCTTCAGCGACAGCGAACGACCGGTACCCTCGTAACCGTTGATGGTAGACGCCATGAAGACCAAGTAGGGACCCATGAGCTTGCGCACCAAAGGCAGGGGAATGGCGGCGGCCTCATCGATGACAACCAACTCAGCCTGACCGAGAACGTGAGCATCTTGGGGTCTGATGTACTGAATCGTCTGGCGATGCGCCCGGTGGATGTTGACTCTAACAATGGCCTTATTGAAATCGGGGTTCGTGGACTGGATGATGGAGTAGTCTGCGTGATCGGCGTATCCGAGCGCATCGAAACCCTTGAAGACGAACTCGAACAGCGTCTTCAAGTTCTCCGGGGACGGGGAGGTGATGAAGATGTTGCTGTACCCGTGCGCGACCGCAGCCGCGACGGCGACACCCATGGCCGCCGACTTTCCGCGACCTCTGGCGGCCGTCAACGTCACGGTGCTCCGCAGCGTCTTCTCGGCAATAGCGTCGACAAACGTCAGCAGCGCCTTGGCCTGGTCGGTCGTCTTGGCGAGGGTAACCAGGGAGCCGACTGGTTGGGTATCTTGCAACGACTCCTTCATGTCCTCGAGCTCCTGTTCGGCCTCGGTCTTGTTGAGGTCCTTGTCGGTGGGCGGGAGCTTCACGACGCCCTTGCCGCCCGAGATGGGCAGGACGTTCATCTCGTCGTCGATGACGAGGCACGAGTCGCAGCCGCCCAGCGAGAGGATGAAGCGCTCGTTGAAGCGGGCGACGACGTCGTCGTGCGCCTCGGTGCGGTAGCGCGAGTGGATGTCCATGGACATTGTGTAGAGCTGCTTGAGCGAGGACATGCCCTTGAGTAGGAGGACCACCAGGCCACCACCCTCGACCGTCTCGATTGTCCTCGCGAGAATGTTTGGCGTCATAGCCTCAAAGTCTTGGAGGATGCACATGCCGAACGTCTGTCCGAGGACCTTTTCCGTCTCCTTGTAGTAGACATAGCGGATGTTGTGGAGGGACACGAAGAGCTCGAAGGGGTCGGACTCGTTGGCTTCGCGGGTGCCGCGCTTGATTTCCTTCTTGATCTTGTTCTCGCGCTTCTTTCGGTGACTGGTTTTCAAGGAAGAGGTCGAATATTAGCTTCTCGATGTTTGCTGTGTAAGTGAGTTCTGCTCGAGATGCCAAACGTACCTCGTGAAGCCCAAGAGCTTGGTCTTGTACGCCCACAAGACGGACTTGTTCTGCTTGATGTTTCTAGCCATCAAGTAGTGGAGGTTAACAACGACATCCTTGGAGTGGTCACCGACCACCACGAAGAAGCTGCGCTTCTTCTCTTGGTACCCATTGCTAATGAGACTCGGGATCCGCTGGTCTCTGTGTTAAAGAAAAGTCAGCAATTGAAGTACATTCAAGTATAAATATCACGAGAAGAACTCACACTGCCTTGCGCGACATCTTGAACAGAGCTCGCAGGGGAGGAGGGACGAGGGGGAGTAACGGCGGAAAATTGGCAGAAAGCGGGCTTGCTGAGAAGTCGGGGTCGGCGCAAACCAGCTCTTAGACGTCGAGGAAATTCCCAAAAATTTGGCGGAGAGAACATTTTCTGCCGGGCGGTAGGCTTTCGAGGTGGGTGCGTCTTGGTGGGGGTGCCGCAACTTTTTCGTTATGACCACCCCTCGTGGCGGAACGCCACACCCCCCTCGGACGATCTTTAAAAATTAACGGGGTGGCCATCACTCAGGAATCATTTTAGTGTAAGGCACTGTACGGATAGAATAGGCATGGTAAGACGATTTTTCAAGGAGAATCTCAAGGCCTTGAAATTTTCCACTTGATGGAACTAGTAATACACTTTTTTTGTTGTACATGATATCTCTGTGTCTCTGTCTTTTCCTTCTTCTTAGTTCTAGCGTCCCTGGTTCTTGCTTCTCTCTCGCTCTTAGTATCGCGGCACGGTCATGAGTAATGGCTCTGGATGCAAGCAGTTGGATGATTGCTATCTGATGCAAAGCTGTCCCCTCTTCTCTCTATATGAAGCCTGAGAAAATGTGTGCATGACGCGAAAAGGAGATGAAGTACCATCAGCGATGCCCCGGCCGAGAACACCAATTATGAGGAGAAAAAAAACACCCGCGTCTTTCCCAGATATGCTCGAGTGGGAGAAGCCGAGTCCAAAGGAAAGAAAACACAAGCATATGAGAAAATAAGAGACCAACGGGGCTTTGCTTGTTTTATATACAAACCAAACAACCGACCCCCGAAATCCGAGCTTAGATTCTGTCCAGCTTGCGGCGCAGGTTGCGCGTGCGCTTCATCAACTTCTTGTACTTCTTCTTCTTCATCTTGAGCTTGCGTTGGCGCTTGACGCTGAGGGCGTGCATGGTATCGTGACCTTGCGCCTCGTCAAACTTCATCTGGCGCAGGGCCATGCGCTCGAGGAACGAGCGGGGCGCGTCGCCGCCGTCCTGCATGATCTTGGGGCTGTGGGCGAGGACCTGGACCTGGCCGTCGGCGTCGGTCGTCTCCTCGATGGTGAACATGGCCTTGTAGACGCGGTGGTGGGGGGTCTCGTCGAGGAGGTCCTCGACGGCGGACTCGGCGGCGGCGGCGTGGGAGGTTGCGGCGTCGGCGGTCTCGCCCATGGCCTCGGGGGCCGGAGGAGGACGGAAGGGGACGAACTGGCCGGCCATGCTGTTGAGCTGGACGTAGACGCTCGACTCGGTGCCGTCGGGGTTCTTGAAGTCGATCTTTTGGACGGGCTCGCCTGACGCATCCGTCTCCTGGTGGCCGATGGTCATCTTGGCCATGGCGCCCTCGAGGTCGTCGGTCGTCCGCGATAGTGTTGAGATGACGTCGGTGACCTTGTTTGCCCTGCTCCGGGGCTTGAAGATGGCGGCGAAGGCTTCTTCCGTCACTGACTTGGGCATGCTGTGGGTCACAGATATCGGCCGGTGCAGAGAGAAAAAGGTTGACAAGCCGAGAGCTGCGCATGAGTTTGTTAGCACGTGTCCCTCAGAACCCCGTTTTCCGCATGACTACACACCTTCTTGGGAAAGATGTTGTGTGCTGGGCACGCTGGGCAGCTTCTGCGCAGCCTCCCTATCGGCGCTGTCCTTGCTCTTTCGTTTCCGCTTCTCGCCGTTGGCCTTGCTGCTGCTGCTGGAGCTCGATGATGTCGAGGCATGGACGGACTGGCCCTGGGCAGGAATGTCCTTGGATCCGTTGTTATTCGGGTTCGAGGGGCTCGAAGAGGACCATCGTCTCTGGTGGCCGCCGACGGGTCTCTGCTGAAGGGTGATGGTGGCCGTAGCCGCTCTCGGAGCGGAGGTGAGGGAGGCGACGAGGGGGGACTGCGGCGCCGAAGCGACCACGCGCCGCACCGATGAGGGCAACATTGTCGCCGGGTGCAGACCTTGGGGGTTTGATCTGGACGGGTTCGAGGAGGAGGAGGGGTGGTTTTGGAGGTGATTGAGGCTGACGCAGATGTTGCCGACAGAGTCGGTTGATGGATGGCAAACCCGGATTTGGCCGCAGGACGGGAAAAGCTCACGGGTTCCACAGACACCTTGTTACTTAGGCATCCGAATGTGCACAGACCACTGACACTCCTTCCCCAGAGCTTTGAGATGGAAGACGGAAACTTGAGATGAAACAACCTTTCAGTACAGGAAGTGTCAGTTGGCTTGTTGTTATTCTTTTTTGAGAAATGACGTTGCTTGGGGCCTCAGCGTGATATAACGCCGGTAGCGCCTCTTAATTGTGATCGAGCTGGGATTGTCTGATTCAGTCCGCCCCGTCACGGGAACACACAGCTAAGCGCCCACCACACATGACCGCGGCCAGAGTCCGGTCAGACTCGCCCAATTCACCGCCCGGGCTGTTACACACCGCTCGACTGGTCCAGAACAAGACCACCCAAGACTTCTTGTCCTTGGAACTCGCGCATGCATTCGGTTGTCTTTGGTAAGAAGATCCATAACGGTCTTATCTCACTACCTACCCCTCGAGGGAATATCCCACTTCCCCCGCTTCCTGGCCCAGCTTAACCAGCATTCTCCGCATGTTCTCAGCCCTCGCCCTCTCCTTCTCATCCAACACGCCCAGATCGACCTTATCAACCCAGCCCTTGAGTCCGTGTTGCAATACATTGCGGGCTCGGAGGGTGCTCCCGTTGACATGTCCCGCACTCCCATGCAGTGTCATGCGTTCCTTGTTCGCGACGTATGCGCCGCGATGCAGAATATTGTTGTTGTAAAAGACAATGTCGCCCGCTTTGAGCTCCACGTATAACTGCTCGGGAATCTCCTTCTCATAAGGATCAGCGTTGCGCTCGATGTCTGTCCTGGCTCTGGTATGCGAGCCCGGGACGACGATGAGACTGTTATCATCGTAGAGAGCCAGGTTCCACTGCGCCGAATAGGCCGGCTTATTGAGCCGATCCAGTTCCTCCTCCGCGGTAGCAGTCGCAGGGATATCATCTCTGTGCCAGCGCAGTTCAAAGTCCACATCGGGCCGTATGAGCAAGTTAAAAAGCTCCATGACCAGGTCGTCATCGTTGCACTGCAGCAGCTGTTTCGTCGGCTCAATCACGGCATCCGAAAAGTACGTCTTGATGAATGCGGCGTTATTGGGCATGTCGGGGTGCATCATCCCCTGGACGCCCCAGATGCCGTCCGGGGGTGATTCCGGGGTGGCGACCGGCCACGGCGGGAACTGCTTGGGCAGCGTCCGCACGTTCGGCCATTTTCCGGCGCGGGCGAGCGCTGTGGCATTTTGGGTCGCGCTCCGGAGGTCTTTGAGTTGGGTTTCGGTGAGGATCGAAGGGATGACGACGAAGCCGTCTCGGTTGAGGCGATCAAGCAAGCTGGAGGCGGTCATCTTTGCGTCAGGGTCTTTGATCGAGTGCCTTCGAGCTGGAGGAAAACGTTTCGGATTCCGTGTCTCAAGAAGATTTTGATCGGTTTTGTTACTTTACGGCAACACTTTCAGGTGCTTTTCGGCACCAGATTGACTTGCAACGTTGCAGCGGCCGACTCCGTCGCCGAAGGATCCCGGTTGAGGGTGGGGAGAATGAGGGGACGGCAGTAGCTCAGTTATCTGTTGCTGCGAGTGGTGCGATGAGAGATAGCAGACGCGGAACTATGAGCTAAGTGTTTCCACCTGGTTGTCATGCAATGAGCACCAGTCAGATATCTCATTGCCGGTATGGATACTTGAAATGATGAATGAGTGTAAAGTACGGCGTAGGAAACTTGAGGCTCCTCGCCTTCCCCACATCCATCCCTTATTGGCAGGGTTGAGCTTGGGACCGTCTTTCAACCACGCCGATATGTCTGTTACTGTTCAACATCAATACATCTCACTTTGTTTCCAATGTGACTGGTCTACGGTGTACCTTGGTCAATCTGAACTAGCAGGGACATCCGCTTCTCAATGGCAACAATGGCAGGCCTATCAGCACATTGCTTTGAGGCAACTCTTTACGCTCGGATAGAATAAGAATGGTGCAGTATGTTCCCATTGGCCCTGCCCATGACCGTCTTTTGATCACTTCAATCCCGTCTATCCTGCTTCTAATGCTCGAAATCTGAAGCCACAAATCGCTATACGACGCTGGAATTACAGCGAGTTCTCAGTTCCCCCGAGTCATCCTTGAGACTGCTTCCCTCAATTGGTGACAGCCACCTCAAGCCGACCTTCCTACCAAGTTCCCAACAGTCTATTGGCTGTTCAAGAAACTGAGGTACGAGTTCCAGCCGATGCTGATGACGTTGACAAAGAGCACACGGTGGTGAAGCGGGACAAACTTGAAGTTTACCACCTGTACGAACGGCCAAAGCATGTAGTTGGACGTGAGCGCCGTCTTGTAGTTCTTGTCGAGCTTCTCCTTGATTGAGCCTCCCTCGAGCGTGGCCATGGAGGAAAGGAAGACGCTGATCATGACGGGGGCGAAAACACCCTGGTCAACCGCGACGCGAGCGAGCATCTCAGCGTTCTTGTTCTTCAGGACAATGTTGTTCTGCAGAAACTTGAACCAGGTTGTGGCGACGGGGCCGAAGATGACTGGAAAGATTTGATTAGTGAGATTGAATTCATTGGCCAGAGCTCAGGTCGGTCATGAAGGCGTCGTCGCGTGTGAGTTCTTCTGAGTGCAGGTGAGGTGAGGTGGAGCTTACCACCGCCGTAGAGGGCCATGCGGCCTGTGCGGGCCCATTCGTGCTTCTCGAGGCCGCGCTTATCGACGAGCTGCTGGGCAGTGATGTCACCGGTCGCGAAGAGGATGGCAGTGGTGATGCTCTGGGTGAGCAGCGGGCGAGCCGCGAGTCTTGCTTGATACCTAGAGATGAAGCATTTAGCGATGCAAAGCTTGGCGATATCAAGAAATTTTGTTGGCGAAGCTCACCAGCCGAGCATTGTGAATGTCTTTCGTCAGAGGGATAGATAAAAGCTGGGGTTGGGAAGTCTATGGGCCTGAATCTGCAATTTCAATCCAGAGATAGGAAAAAATGAGCGAAATGGTATGACGGACGGCCGGCACAGGTCGGTGGGTATCCAGAAAGGAGGGAAGAGACGTGAGCGAGCGGATGGTGTTGTGAGTTTGTTGTATGAGACAATGTGACAGGTGAGAAGTCGATTCCAAGATTTGGCGGTAGCTCAGGGAAGGTACCTGAGGTGAGGTACCCAGCAAGGAAGGTGCGATCGTCAGGCCGACAAGCCGCACGTGACGATAAAGTCTCCAAATTTGGCCTTATTAGGCTGGTGCGATGCAAGAAATAGTCAAGAAATCTAGAAAATGGCTGGAAAAAGCAACAATCACAGCTACGATGGAAAGTTAACAGAGCTCAACCTGGTCTTGGCCAACAAAATTGAGAAACACTGTCCTCAAATGGTTCGGAAGCTTGGGATTTAGGGGCTCCCGGTAAAGAGACTTTTCCTCCTAGTTGCATACGGTGCACGGGCAGTCCAAACATAGCACTCCGACTCCAGCGGACAAGCTGCTTGATGCAATTATCGGGGCGATGTTCATTCGACGGTTACTCGCTCAGACCCTTTGATTTCTGCCCTGAACTAAGGCACACCACTACCTCTTAGCTTGTGCACTATTTCGCATCGATGCAATTGGAGACACTTCGGTGATGGCCTGGCCGTGATGGGGGAAAACGCATAGTATGAGAAGCCTCAGTCTATTGAACAGTGATGACTTCAGGAGGGGCCAGCTACGTGTCTGTCGACTGAGTTGTTGGTTCGAGTAACAACTCAGAGTGGCGGCCGAACTCTGCGATACTCGGACCAAATCAACGGAGTGGGCCGCTCGTTTTCCCACGCTTCCCACCTATCCCACTCCTCATGACCATAGTCAACTAGATCCCAAGAGTCATCGACCCAGGCACCAGGCACGTCCCAGAACTCCCCAGCGTAATCTTCGTACTCATATGTCCACCATAACCTCCAGTGGCTTGGACATGAACCCTAGGTGATACCTATGAGAGAGAATCGAGTTGTACCAAAAGTCCCATCTTTCCAAGGAGCCCATCGTCGCCAGATAGTTGTGAGAGCTTGCTCGTACATGTGCCTTTCTTCACGCCCGTAATGCAGAAGGTCCACATCGCTGGAGGAGAGTATCGTGACCCACTCGGAAAGTGTTGCTACCATTAATTTGCACACTTGCTCCGCTGTGCTTAGAGTCCTGGGGTTTGCATCAATCACTGATTTGATAACCGCAACCAAGGCTGAGCTCTTGGAGTTTTGGATGGACCAGTGTGAAGTCGTGTCAAGGTGATGTAGACTTAGATGGTCCAACCTGATGCTGTCATGGAGTAATTTCTTCCATAGCTTTCTTGATTCAGCCCACTGGTCAGGGTTTGGGTGGCAACTCTTTCTGGTAAAGTTGCCAGCCATCCCCATGGCGAATGAGTGAAAAAGAGCGGATCCCTCGATATTTCTGGAATATGCGAGCATTCCGTTATGTACGTCAAGGTATCGAGCTTCCGGAAATATCCAATAAATTTCCTCTGCCTCCCAGCTGCACTTCGCTGCAACTAGTCTGAGATGGAACAGCCGTGTAAGAAAGGAAACCGATCTCTTGATGGGGTTATTACGTTTCAAAAGCAGTTGGAGGCAAGATAAGCTGATACCAAAGTCAAGAAGAACTGAAACTTGCTCCAAATCTTCGAGGTAGTCATCGAGGAAGTTATCTAGAAACAACCTTTGTAGCGTAGGTTCTAAATCATGATATCAAGATGGCTGGTTCAACCAACTAAGCTCGTAAAGTAAGAAGGGAATTCTATACATTGTCAAGAATGTTAACAAGGTATTCTCGATGTCATAGCCTAAGGATTCAAGAAAGTAAGCTATTACCTTTCCTCTGTAATGTTATCCCACGGGTCTTGCAAAAAACATGCAAGTCCTCTATCCAGAAAAGTTTTGATTATCCTGAGAGATTTCGTTTGGACGGCGACCTGCGATAGACACACTCAAATCAGTTACCATTTCCTAATAATATTTCGCTGGAGGAAGCACTCTCACTCGTAGCAAGCTTGTCCCGAACCCATCTTTCACGAAGGGGGTCATCTTGTTTTCGGATAGCACTTGAAGAGTTCCAGAGGGGTCGTCATTTTCGATGCACTCATACAATTCGTCGTCGAAGTATCTAACTACTTCGTAAGCTCTCAGGTTGAGCTGCCAGCCCTGATAGCTTTTCTGAGCCATGACTGAGTACACAGACCCAGTGAGCCAGCTTGGTGCCTGGATAGAAAATTGAAAGTTGTCGTTGTCTCCAAAACCAAATCGAAAGGTAGGCAAGATCGAAGCTGGGGTAGAAATGTAGAAGAGAGCGGGCGTGGTTGATGCCAGTACTCTCTTTGTCTTCTTTTCCACTGTCGGCGCGTCTGAAGCAGCTGGTCTTTCAGACCGCTCTTCGATTCTCATTGAGGTCCTAAATGTCGACATCGCCCTAAAACATGCCTGGTTACAAAACGAACCTGAAATAGGAGTATGGAAGACAGTAACTCACATAATCCACTGCATCTGTGCGATGGAAAAGAGACCGAGAGCCGCATCAAGCTTCCTGTCCAATGCTCTCAATTCATCTTTTCGGAACATTACCTTGGTTGACAACAGCTTGCTTCTGAAGCCGTCTTTTCGGGCAGTCGACTTGGCTTGTAGATCGTCCACCATATCTTGAACCTCATCAAGTGCACGACGGACCTTTTCAATGTGTTGCTGCAGGCGGTGGTTCGTTTTCCAGAAGGCTTGCGGTAGCGGGCTGTTTTGGATGTGGTCTTCGGCATCGAGCAGGAAGTCCTCTAGATCTTCGATACGTTCTGCTTTTTGAAGAAGCATTGTTGGTACTTCCTTGACTTCATTCCACAGTTTCATGAGCTTGAACGTGGCGCTCCCGACTTTGGCGGTTACGTCGACCACGGCAATGACGCTGGCGGCTAGGCCAAGAGCTTCCGCCATAGTGATAAGCTGAGTGTTGAGTTCCGCTTATACCGATCAAGAGTTGTAGGTCGCCGAATAGTTAAGCGCCAAGAAATTAAACCGCAGGTGAGCAGGGAACGAGAAAAGAATGAATATTTTGGGTCTTTTTGTCTACTATAGCTCAGTAAGATTCGAAAAGAAAAGAGGAGAAAGGCCGAAAGAGAGGGGGAGAGCAGAGTCCGTAGCCTTATGAACCTCAGTGCCATGAGGCGGTGCTGAGCTCATTGGTCCAGCATGGTGCGCCATGCATGTGGTTGTGTCTGGACTTTCCATCATTTGATTCGATCGCTTCGCTCTCGACACCATCTTATCCTGTTCAGAGCTGACTGGCGTTTGCATTGGGCAGACACAAGGCAAATCACTACCGTGGCTGAGCCTCACGGCTTTTCAAAAGGAGATTTGTGATAAGCCAACATTAGCATCTTTTTCCTCATCTACAAGCTTACCTCTACTTTAGGCCGATCTTGTCTTTGAGTCCTTTGACTGTATAATTATACTTCAACTTATATAGCGCATTATAGGATACAAAAACTGCAATGAGGGGAACCGAGAAAGAAAAGAGCATGGGGGTTTTATAATACTACATGCTTGAAATGTGTAGTAATTCGGATCGCCTGCCCCCAGCGTCGTGCTAAGCACTGCAAAAGTCTTCTCAAGAGACAGTCTCGAGGCGGAACTGATGCCTCAGTGAAGTACTTCCCTCTGGTCCCTGCTGGAATAGAATATTTGATTGATCATTGATTTGTAGATACTATTCTCTACAAATCATAGTGGTGCTAATTACCTTGCGTGATAGGGGATCGGTACTGCATTGTGAGAAGATTGATGTTTTGGTAACGTAACTCTTGCATATCATGAGGCCAGGAAATGTAAACTAGAGTGAATGAATGCCTTTAAAAATAGAGCCATGTTGACAAAGGTCACTTCCAAGACCAGTGCCCTTATACAGGTTGCCTGATCTTGCGATATTCAGACCAGATCAATGGACGATTTCCTTCATGCACCCATGAAGGCACAAGCTTGGTCGATCCATCGTCAAAACTTGTGTCATCCACCCAGCTTCCTGGAATTTTAATCCCAGAATCCTCGAGCATTCTCCAAAACTCACCCGCATAGCCCTCATAGTCAATCGCCCACCATATCTTCCAATGTTCCGGTAAGCAACCGTAAGTGATGCCAATGTATTCGATTCGATATTCTCGATCCCGTTTTTCATTGCGCTTACGCGGCTCGCTGGTATCCTGAAGCAACCGAAACGACCATCCGGGGAGCACATGACGCCTTGGCACGGTGTAGGTCGTTCGCGACTGACGGCCATGATGTAGCAGATTCACCTTGTTGCTATGCAGCATCTTCACCCAGACTTGTAAAGTCGATTGTATAATGTGGTCCGCATGATCTGTCGAGCAAGGCTGAAAGTTGCTTAGCAGGGTTCTCGTTAGAGCGTGTAGTGCACTTGATGCTCTACAGCGCGTGGTGGCTGCTTGTGTGAGGCTTTCAGGATCCAGTGCGATGATCTGGCCGGCTAGGCGCGCATATTCGTTCACAGAATGTGAATGGGCAGGATCACCACGCGGTGCTCGAGCAGCCCGTGCCCCGATCCCCGACGCAACGAGACTCGGTATGAGATATTTCCTCCCTGCGAGCCGCCAGGACACCACGAGCTCTCTTGTGAGGCTCTTGAGCTCTGGAAGGACAGCAGTAAGTTGCCTTAATGTCCAGACGGAGCCACGTATTCCGCTATACGCAAAACGAAGTCTCGATTCAAAGTAAAACCATTTTGGATTGGACGCTGGCGACTTGGAATGAAGCAGCCTGGTAAAATTGCCAAAGTCTGTGAGGCCTGCGATGAATCCCATCCACTCCACCGATACACCAGTATCTCCATCCGGCGCGTGTAAAGCGAAAAGTGTAATCAAGTCAGATGGAGTATGTGAGTCTGGAGGATGCCACAACTTATTGGCAGCCGCAAAGATGAGGGTTCTTGATCGTGAGTCCCTGCAATATGTCAGCATATTCGCGTCCGTAGAATGATCCTTTCTAATCACTAACTCTAAACAATCATTCTCTTCACTGCTGTAAGAACCAGCAAACAGCCCAAAGGTAAGAAGCCATTTCGCAATATTAAGCCATCGATTTTGAGCGCAAAGCTTACATCAGAACAAGGTCAATCACGTTTCGTGGGTCCAACAGGTAGATGAATCCACATACATATAACAAGTTTTCCCCATGTTCGTCTTGAACCAAGGGTGTTAGTGATTTTGATCGTAAATATTTCATGAGAGCCTGTGGATCATCGGACTTCACGGCGTCTTCAATGTCGCGAAACGACTTGATTACCACATAGGTTGTAAGATTGATTTGCCATCCAACCATGTTCTTGTGGCACATGGCGGAGTACACTTTGCTGCCGAGCCAACTGGGTGATCTGAGTGAAATCTGGAAGTTGTTGTCTCCAAAACCAAGATGAAGCCTTCCAATTGCGGTCGTGCCTTGAGATATGCCAGGATTATCTTTGCCAGCTACATTGGCAACAACTGGCTTGTGTTGTTCAACAACCTCTGTCACTTTGACTTTATGGGACGGATATTTTATGACTTTCGAAGAACTCAAACATTTGGGCAGCTGTTCCATGATGATGGACGTGGAAATCATGGCTAGTTTTCTGCTCACCTCAGATCAGCCAAGCTCTAGAAAGAACTCAGTACTCAAGTACTTGACTTACGTGCAATATATCCCTTGAGCCACCTTGAAAAGCTCCAAAGCTCGATCGAGTTTCCGTTCCATGTCTTCTATTGTATCTTTCTGCAAGACAAACTTTGCAGCAGTCAACTTGCGTCGGTGCTTCCGCGGATCAGATATCTGAAGGCTGAGGTCATCGATGGTGTTTTGTATGTCTGCCAATGCGGCGCGGGCTCGCCGGAGCGACTTTTGCATGATCTCATCATCGATGACCGACTTGGATACCGGACCGCTCGCAGTCTGAGTTTCGGCATCTTTGAGATAGTCGTCGAGATCTTGAAGCTCTTCGGCCTTTTCGAGAAGAACGGTTGGAACGTTCTTGACTTCGCGCCAGAGCGATTTGATTTTGAGTGTGAGACCTATGGCCTTGCCGGTGACTTCGGCAACAGCGATGACGCTTGTCGCGAGACCAATCGCTTCGGCCATCGTTTGTTGGTGCAAAACGAATGTAAGTGACAGAGGCGCCTTGGGAGCAAGAGTAGGGCTTTGTCTGTTGATTTCTTCACTACGTTGAGCAGCAACTGTCCGTCATTTAGCTGTGTTGGAAACCTTGCAGGTTTAGGAGTTTCTCGGAAAGAGGGGAAAGAACGGATCTCTACGGCAAAGGTTATTGCGATAGGCTGGTGCCTTTGTCTGTTGGTTCAGAACGTCGTATGCGGGCGGCTGCACCTAGCCACACGCCTTGGCCGGGTTTTTGAGCCTTCTACTGGGATATCATTGGACTGAACGACTTCGTTTCCACCTGAATAGTACAGTGATTGGTTGTTTGAGAACCTTCTTGCTGATCGACTTGGAACACGCTGCCAAAGTGCCACTCTTATGTGGCATCCCCTGAAGAGGCGCGGTCCAAAACATGCATGGTACTCCAGACGCAGTATGAGGCTTCGCCAGTTGCTCGTGCGGTTGACCATGAGCTGATTGTTTAATGAAAACGCAAATTGAAATCAAATTGTGATGCACGATATCCTATGGTATCTCCTGAACGATGAAATGCCCCAACGCCATTACCAGAGAATCATGATACAGCAAGCCAGAAATGCCTATTCCCAGAGCCATATACGGCAGACTGCCATGGCGTGGCATGCTGTTGATGTGTATAACCCAACACGTTACCGAAAGAATGATGCTCAGAGCAGATCAGCTAGGATACCCTAGAAGATAGACATCGACGAGGATGGCCATCCAGAGCCGTTTCGTGCTGCCCCCGCTACAACTCCAACACACCGCAAGCATCGACGCTGCTCGCCGAGGTTTGTAACGGAGCAATGCGAGCACACGTGCCTGCCGCACGCACCGCAAGAATGATCAGCACCGTAGCTGTAGCCATCGTCGATATCCATCCCGTCTGCAGCGTCATGCGAGGCACCGAGACCGGCGCCACAATCGTCGCAGCTCATCGGCGACAGCGTGCCCTGGTCCACGGACGGGGCCGGGGCGGAGAATTTGGGCTCGGCTGATTTTATATTCCAGAAGCTGTGAAGGGACTTTTGGGTGTTGCGGGCGGCAGGAACGGGCGAGGGTTCGGAATGATTCGTCTCGTGGTCTGCGTCGGTCGGGTACTGGTTGTGTTGCTGCGCGGAGTAAAGCATGTTCAGAGTACGTTCTGCGGTATGCTGTTAGCTTAGTTGTCCTTATTGATTAACGCAATGGACCAGACCTACGATGGATTTGCTCCTCCGAGGGCCTGTTGTCGCGGAAGCGCTTCATTGTGCGACTCGAGAGGTGCGATGGCGTCGCATATGCGCGAGGATATATGGGGCTTGGAGAGATCGGTGACTCAAAGGACTCGATGCTGGATTCGGAGCGAGCAGGCGAGGAGAAGAGGTTGACGAGTTCGGAGGCGGAGCGCTTGCGCTTGAGAGCCATCTTTGTCTGAAGATCTGGGTAGAATTCTTGGAAATATAAGGTGGTAATTTCGGTGCCGCCTGAGATAACCGGGGCAGAATGATCGAATTGATGATGTTGTATTTGTATCAGAGTCAAAAAAGGGTGGTACGGGCCGACGGGGATCAGATCGAATGGAATATCTTTATTTGCTCGTGACAAGTTGAGTATGCGAAATGGAATGATACTGAGGTAAGGAGTGCCAGGCGCGACGCGTCTTTTGATGGTTGAGGCGCGTTTTGCGTTTTGTACGCGATAGCCCCGCTGGACTTTAAGTGGTATGGGCTTACCTAAGGTAAGGACCTCAAGAGCGATAAGACAGTGGGCTCAGCAACGATGCCTGCATGATCTTAGCGAATATGACAGCAAATCCACTCCCCAGACGCTTCCCAAACTATATTAGAGCTATATTAGAGCAGCAAGCGTGTTCATGAGGTAAGATACTTAATGGAGGCAGAGTACCAAATCCTGTGATGTATGGATGCTTTCATCGCATCGGAAGCTGTGTTCACTTGCCGTTGCGGATGCTCGCTCCCTCCCGCGTCGCCACGTCCAGCCCGGAGCCTAAGTCAGCGGTCCCGATCCGCCAGTTTCATACGGTGACTAGAACAAATACGTGCCGAAACAATGCTGAATCCCACAGATATATTACCGATCAAAGAGTAGGAACTGCCACCATTGAAAATCTACATGAGCTCAATCATCTGTTTCTCTGCCTTCGCCTTGTCCCATCCCAAGCCAACTTCCTCCCCTGTACCGGGCCAGCCTGCTTCCCGCATGATCTTTTGCCTGAGACCATCGCCGTTTGTCTCGTCAAGTTTTGTTTCTGCGGACCGGTATCCCTCCTCAATTTGGCCAGCCCATTCCATTTTTGGCATCCAGTTCATAACCTTCCATTGCTCTCGACACATTTTGAAGAATGTATCGATGCGATAGGTCGGCGAATATCTCCAATCATGACCGAGTAGATATAGGTCGACATCCTCCTCACTGTCTTCACTATCCTCTCCGTCACTTTCACCTTCTTTCTCTCCCTCCACCTCGTCTTGGTCATCTCCGCCCCAGTTGATATGATCGGCGTCGGGAAGGACTGGTGGCCACCCGTGTGGAAATTCCTCTCCTACTCTGACCACAATGACGATATTGTGTTCCGTATCGAGAAGAATATCATAGCCCTCTTCTTTCTCTTCGGCTAGCACCGCCAAAGTGAACATGCTGGAAGGGATCGGCTCCCCTCCATCCTCGGGAGAGTAGCCAGGGTTGGCACCGATCTTGTCTTGAGGGACAGGCCGCACTTCCTCGTTATACACGCGGCTTTCTCCATGGGTCCTTCTACAGAAAGATGCGTCTGCGAAGTTACGGGGTGTAGTTGATTTCATGAAGCTTATCCGATCGCTTGTGAAATACGGAATGTGCCGCATCAACTCAATGACGGTATCATTCCGGCCCAAGATGGAGAAGGACTCGGGTGTGATCTGAGGCCATCCTCCTGGAGGAGGGTACTTGAGAGAAGAGACACTGTCAGGGTGTACGCGAGCGAGGAGTTCATAGTAGGATGTGATGGCAGCCACAGTGGCATCGTGAGAGTATTCTGCTTGAGAGGAATCGGGAGGAGATTGAGCCATGATTGTGGAGAAGAGAGTTTTGGATGGTGGTCGTAATAGATGATAATGAGATAAGAGTAGATGATGGTTGTCAGCTCAGAATGCTATATTGAAGGTGCAACGAAGGAGCTCTAAACTGCAGTAAATCATCGTTGACGAAGGTCGTTGATGACGCGAGAAAAAGGGGGAAAAGCTTGGCCTCATTTCAGAATCCGCTCTGAGACGGGGGACGTGGGGTCCTCGAGTTGTTGGTAGATCTTGTTGGTGTTCATCTCTTCATACCAATTTTGTTGCCACTGTTGGTACCAAATTGGCAAACTTGTGTTGGATCCTGCCGCCCGGCCAACAAATCCTATATTCGAACTAGTTTTGTCTCTTCTGGGATTGAATTTAAACCTTTGGTCCCCTCGTACCTTGCGTAAGGTACTTTCTCGAGTCGGGAAAGAGATATCAAGTAGATGAAAGGGCCAACATGAGATCCAACGTTGAATGTCAAGACCGGTTAGTGGTTGGGACTAATCACAGTGATTTCCTTCCAACGTATAGCCCCCATGACACTTGATATTTGCGATGTGGGCGTAAGTGTTGGTGCAAGTGCAGGTTCGTTTGCGTCGATGGTTGGCTCATGACAACGTCTCGTCCTGCCACCGACAGTTCAATGTACGTGTTCCGGTTCAGCATAACTACCTAGATCATTATAGAATTCCTGGCTGAAACTTACAAGTTACACTAGGCAGACCATGTCTCTCTGGAGAAGCGTGCGTGCTTTCGAGGCATCAAATTCCTAGAGGAAACGAAAGAATTCACATTCATTCGACTTGGAGTAAGCCTCTAGTAGTGTGATCTCGAGACCAACTACCATGCTCACAAGCCAGGCACTCTAGAACAAGAATTTGCAAACGTTAAACTTTGGGCTATGATACCGTTATTTCTGATATTATCCCCCCTTAGACTTCTTCCCTTTAGAATGTGACTAGGTCAGGCCTCAACCATGCCCCCTTTTGGACCCAATAGCCCCCTGGGCGATTAAGATGGGGGCAACATCGTGATTCAGCGGGCGGTAATGGCCTTAAAGTCTCAACATGCGTTGCAGAATACGAGATGGTCTAAATTCAACATCAGCTGATGAACATCTGTTTATATGATGTCGAATACTTTGGGTACAAATATCAAGCGGAACAGTCTGCGCTGCAGCAAATGTCTTGAGAGTTTGACTCAATGCTCGTATCGGAGAACTCAGCTTCAACCTATCTCTTCTTCCGTCGAACCATGAAAATCTTTCCCATCATAATCTTGGTTTTCAACACCTTGTTCGGTGTTGTTACATGTTTCCCGGATGATTCTGATAAAGCTCTACTGTCGATCTACGAAAGTACTGGTCAGTGTTTCCAATACATAAGCGCCGAGCAAAACAGGGACAAGTCATTGGCACCATGCCAGCAGTGGTGCAAGAAGAACACCGGTTCGGATAGTTATGGGGTAAGCTCGCATATGTATTTGTGGATGGATTCGAATAATCCAGCTCTTGAGGGTCAAATAGTGCGACGGTACCCCGTATCAGGGAAAGCATATCGACGCGTCTCTCATACAGAAGGATGCCGACGGTCATCAATGGGTTCCACCCAAATGCTTTTGCGACTTGAAGGTTGCCGAGGAACTCCTTAATATCGTTGTTGAAGGTCTCGCTATCCTCGATAAGATTATTTGCGCAGCGATGCTGGAAGCGTTCCAGTCCATCATCGATGTCGGCATAAACTTCATCCCTGGAGGTGCCGCTCTTCACGGAGCTAGAGCCGCTGTTCAAGGAGCCAAAACATTTGCAGAGAACGGGTTAGAGGCCGCTTCCTCCTTTGGCGACTGGGTTGGGCCTGCATGTGGAGTTCGTGACTGGCAATTTGACCTCTTTGGAGCCTTGGTCAACGCGCCTGACTCTATAGGGGTCAGTACCGGCTGCCACAAGAAAGACAAGACGGCTTGCAAGAGGATGGAGTCTAAGCCGGACCCGAAAAAGAGACTAGACACCCCAATAGATAAGACAAAGACTATGAACCCTGGCGAATCATCCACCACACATGTACATGAGACGTCGACGAGCTCGGTATCTTCGACCGTATCATCTGAACTAGCGTGCGCGCTAGCTGCTCGAGCAGCGAGGCCTCTTTCGAGGGTAGGAGTTTTAGGTGATGCCGAAACTTCAGAACGCAGATGCGGGAAATCAGTCACAGTTCATTTGACGGAGACCGTCAAGCCCATAGGCTTTTACGAGACTAGAGTCCCCAATATTAAGTGTCGAAAGCAATGGTCGCAAGCCTGTTACCATTACTCGTAAGTGGTCAAACTCCAGCCTCACTCTCATGTTACGCGAGCTCGCGTCCTCAGGAGCTGATAGATATACAGGTCAGTCATGGAAATTCACCGAAACACGAGATCTATGACTGAGTGGACCTGCGGTGCAACTCAATCGACCAGCAACGACGGTTCAGCCACCGACGTCTGGGGATCGACGGCTGTAGCGGCCTTGGCTCTTACCAACCAACACTGGGGATGGCCATGGGCTAACGGTTTTGTGCCACGTCGTGTTTTGAGGCATGCGAACGGTCTGCCGAAGAAGGATAAATACGGAAACGACATGGCTGTCGGCTGTGACAGAGACGAGTTTCCACCTCGTTACTTTTGGCCCAAGGCTAATGAAGCAGAAGAGAAAGGCATGGTGCAACGAATTCGTTTTCTCCCGTACGATGAGAACCGCAAAGCTGGAGCCATGTGGCGTGGGTTTTGTAACAAGAATGGCGCTCAATCTTCGACTACCCGCACCAGTACCGTGACGTCTTTCATTCAGAGCAAGTTTATCAGAACCGTCAACGCCAATAGTCGAACTGCTAAAGGTGTGGACGGTACAAATAGTAGGTTTGAACCCACAACTATACCTGTTCAGCTTGTTGAACGATGTAATTTCTAGCGGTAAAAAGCTGGGTTTCAATTGAAACGGCAAGAGCTATCTTCAAGATTACCGACTGGGATGGTCTCCCAAAAGACACGAAGTGGTACGGACTTCGGGACAACAAATGCTGGCCCAAAGATCTTACGCCTGATGACCCTGGATGGGTCCTTTTGACCAACGACGAGTTTTACGCCGCCGGACAGCATCCTGACCTTGCGCAACACACGCAAAGTTATAGAGGCTTGCCGGATCTCACACTGTTAAGGCGAGTTCTACAGCAACGCAAGAATCAACCGCCATACGAATTTCGTGAGCTCAATAGTACAGATTACGACGACAGAGGGATTCAAGAGGGTAACGGTGTCGGTCAAATTCCAAGAGCATACCGCGACAACGTGTTGCCCGGCATGCCCCAGGCCAAAAGACGACGCAGAATGATTTGGGCTGAAGAGAATGACAATGCAAAAGCCTTGGAAGATGATCTATTCATTGAAAGCCTCGAGGGCTTGGATGATGATGAATTTGAGAATCAGATCGAAGAGGACTTGTACAACGGTGAAGAAGCGTCGATGACGATGCCGAGGGAAACAGAAGCGATTCTGACTCTCGCTGGTCAGGGCGACACCACGACAATTCCACCTTCTCAAGCTCCCATCGCAACAAACGAGTTTCCTAAATCCACTCAAGGGCCTCGTTCATAGCGGATTCGACCCGCATACTTCTATGTAGAACAGACTGATAGCTCCTGGATGGTGGCTCTTATGCACGTTCCTAGTCTACTTCTTTATGACGACTGTTTGACGTCTTCTTTTACTTCTACTGGCCCTTTTTTTCTTAGGTCAATACAGGAAAATATCTGAGATCTCATTCTATAATAAATAATTACCCTCTGAAGCAGGAACACATGATTAGCCGACTGAATCTCTGAATATAAGCACTTTTCTTTTTACTTTTCTGTCCGTCAACACAGATTCTCAGGTGGTGGCAACATGCAGTTGATCAGATTCATGCGATAGTCGAGAGATGTCGCGAGGCCTCACCAAGGAGCCTTCCAGAGAATTAAGATAGCGCCAGGAAAATGCGGCTCGTGTTCTTGCAAAGTGACTGGCAACTTTGAATCATTGTATCTACTAGTACACATGACAACACCAAGTCTCTGCCTAATCTAAGTAAAATACGTACGGACGGGAAGAGCCCAACAATAATAATCTTACGATTTTATGGAGAATTATTGTGGCTGCTCTCATCTATGGTGTCGAGCTCGCTAATTTGCTGCGATCCACCCTTCTTCGGCGTGAGAATTGAGCTTCTATACTCAGCCGCAGCCGAATTCAAGCGCTTCTTCTTTTCTGACTGTCCAAGAATGAACCGAACAAAGAATTGACGAAGAGTTGGTATGCAAGCCGTGAAAATTCCGACATACAGCTCAAGGTCCGTCCAAATGACGCTTGGCATCATGGCCACTGCGAAGAAGAGAGACGTATCAGTACTAAGGCTTCATCATGTGGAGCGAAGTGGTCAGCAGCTTACCGGTAGGATTAAGCGGATCTTTTCTAAAATCTAAGATTGCTTTGATCCGGATGCAGCTTACAACAGTGAGACTGAACCGAATGCGTTAGTGACCCACGATGCTTCATGAGATGAATGTTGAGCTACTCACAACAGACCGAGACTGAACATGAACATGATGGCAAACTTCTTGCGGCGAGCCAGGTTCATGCCCCAAACTTGGGTCAGAGGAAGAACCAGCATCCAAACGTCAAGCGCGATGTTGATACCGGCGTGTGCCAGCGCGAGGTAGACGATGTCGATACACTTTCCAGTCGCATCTCCTGTCCAAAATGTCCAGGCCAGACTAAGGGGATTGCACTGAAACAGGCCGACGAAGATGAAGATGATGCCGTTCATAAGGTTGAGGACCTGCGTAACCCACAACGCTATAGTGATCCTTTCGCCGGGCAGATGGAAGATTCGAAGGTACATGAAGAGAATCGATGCCTTGATGATGTCGATGCAGGAATGATACAACGTTTGTAATGCGTAGAAGCCCTGTAGAGATTGATATTAGCAACGATAGCCCCAGGTCCAAGGCGTGCAGACTTAGGAAGTCCGCGCAGAAGCGGCAGGCTTTAGATACCTTGAAGAAATGGGTGATCTGTGAGTCACTGAGAGTCCATAAATCTCTCCCAGCACCGTTATCCTCGACTATCCAATAATTTCAGCGCATTTTCGGTGTTGAGAATCTCCTTGGTAGCTTACGAAAGACGTGCAACGACACGTACGCCACGAGTAGAATCTTCAAATATCATATTAATGTCTTGGTCAGGCCTTTCCGAACTGGTCGGCGACCTACGTATGCCACAATAATAGTGTAGTCATCCCAACCCCACGGTGATAGCCGAGCAAACTTCGTTATCAGCCGAAGGATGATGGCGAGTGTTGGAAGCATCGCAAACAGGACGATCCGAGCGACTTTTGTTGCTGGTACCTCATTGTGCAGAGGAAAATCACACGCGGTCCAGGTGATGTTTTGCGTGACTGCAGCAGACGTCAGACAGATAACTTCCGCACCAAGGCGGACCAAGACATACTAATGGCGTACTTGAGCGGGCAGCTCATGACAACACATCCTTCCACGAATTTGATAAAGTCGTCATCCTGGCACAGACATATTTGATCATTCGTGGGGCAGTTCGTTTGATTGAGGCCTCCCAGGAGGCAAGGCAGCTACACTTCAAGTTAATACCGCCGTAATTAGTCGCCGATGGGGTGCTGATAGTCTTCTTACAGCGCAGGGGGGGTTATCGTCGAGTGAAAGACCTGGCACATCGGGTAGAGTTGGCTGTTGGGCGAAGATTGTTGTCACGCAGACGAGAAGGGCCACCAAGGTTGCCCGCATGATGTCAATCAACGGCCTTGGCTCTAATAAGCAAATTCGAAGTTGATCTCTGATGAACGCCAAGAAATCGAATATAGCGCGTCCTAGACGGTTTTTGTGACACCTGAGAATTACTTTCAAGAAAAAGGGTAACACAAATAGACAGTCTCGAGAGGGGGTCTTCCATTAAAACCATCTACCCGTTGTACTCCAGCAACAAGAACCACGCATTCCAGACAAAAAGCCCACGAGACATGGCTGCAAAAGGGTCCATTTCGGCGGCGTGGCTGCTCAAAGAGCCACCTCTCCCAGGCTGACAGTCTCGCTTGATTCCGGCCACCATGGTTCGGTTTCGGTGAGGTGTCTGGGGCGAGACTCTTGTCAAACAGTAAACAGGGCGTCGATGGCTTGGAGAATCAGCCGGATGGATTGAGCGGGAGCGGGCTTGTAGACGCATCGGGCCTAATTGGCCAGAGCGGGTTCCTCATCGGTTCCATCCGGTACCTATAAATGAGCACCATACCTCGAGATCCCGTTAGCAGATGTGATGTCTTACCCGGAATCGCCCTGGACAGACGCTAGTTCACCCGCATTCTGACTTCGATCGCGCGCGATTTCAAGGCGATTATGCTCTAGGCATGACATGTGAGCCACACTGTGGCACAAGATTGAGTTTCGCAATCATGATTGTTCTTTTAGAAACGACTCTAGTGTATGCGCTGGAGCAGAATTGAGTGCGAGTAAACCTCGGGAAAGCAATCAATCCCGCCCATGTATTATTTGTGCCATCCACTCCCCCTCGATCACGACTCACGAGGCCTCCTCCTCTTCTTCAGGCTTTTGTGCATAAACCACGTGGCTACGAAAGACTGCGTCAGTCGTCTCTCCCATGAACAAGGACTAGTCGAAGCAATTGAAAGGCGACTTACATCGCAGTATGGGCATGGAAGCTACCAGCCTTCAGCTCCTTGCGCACCTCGGCCAGCAGTACCAAGACCTCCTCTCTGGTCCATCCATGGACGCCACAGAATGTCCTCAGACTGAATGCTTCCAAGCCATCCATTAGCTGAATGAGATTCATCATGCCAATTTCTTTGTAGTGAGGATCTTTGGCCCACGGTCCGATGGGCATCTTGAACTTCTGATGGACAATATCGACAAATCCTGTGTCCTTGACCCAACCTTCGAGCAGCGGTCCGATGCAGGGATCACGACCGATCTTTCTGCAGGCGTCGATCAAGAGTTTACTCCATCGGTCGGTATGGTGCTCTTCAGTCAGTGTTCCATCTTCCGAGACATAGTTGATGTCGTAGTCTTGGAACTCAACCCAGCCTCCGGGCTTGAGGTTTCTAGCATTTTCGTCAGTATTGGCCTATCAACAGTCTAGAGGAATCATACGCGTAGACTTGTTTCATGAGCTTGGGCCAATCGACAATAGATCCGGCCATGTATCGACAAAAGATGAAGTCGAATTTCTGCTCGTTTACCCAGGAGCTTTCAACGTCGTCAATCTCGAACTTGACGTTTGGTGGAACCCTAGAGGTCAGTTAATGGGAAGTACTGCCTCATAGCTAATATGCCTACCAAGACGGCTGAATCGCGCTCAAATCGTTTCCTAAGATCTGTGAAGAGTAGAACTTGGTGAGCATTCAGTTGGCCAAGTGCACAGACATAGCGGTTCGTGTACCTCTGCATTGGGAAAGACGTCTGCTGCCTCGATGGCCCCTGAATATTCATCTGATTAGCGAGACTCAACCAAGTTCATCTCAGGCGTTGCATACAAATGCCAGTGCCGGTGCCAATGTCAAGGATCCTATGGGTGGTTTCGGATGGAATTGGAGCCAAGAATAGCTTCCTGCCGAGGATCTTCACCATGTAGGTGTGATGAAAGTCGAGTCGGTCCATCTCTAACTGTATGTCCGAAGTACTTGGTTAATGATTGTTCTCGTTTTCTGATTTCCTCAGAGTCTCGCAATACCTCATCATTCGGGCCCAAGTATGCTGCTTCTCTGTTAGCCACTGGTAGACTCTCATTGGCCCTGATCAGACTTAGGCAGATGCATCGAATTACTTACCTCCCGCACGAAATGCATGATATCGTCGGCCGTACTCTGTTGGATAATCTATCGCACTAGAGGTCAAAGACGCTGTGTAGGTCGAGCTTGTTACCGCGTCAGTGTTGCCTCACTGGGATTATAAGTAATAGTCTCTACATTTGTTCATTGATACTGGACGCCGTTCCATCAACCTAAAATAACGCAGTCCCCAAGTCAGTGGACCCGACTTGATCGGTTGGAGAATCAAGGTCACGAACGCTAGCTGCATCATCGACCTCTAGAGTAGCAGCTTCGTTGGCTGAGGTAAGAGGCTGTTCGCGATTTGGCGATGCTGTTTGTGTCCTGTCATTCTCCGCCACCGGGCTAGTTGAAGAGTTGGTCATCTTCGGCGTCAGTTATTGGGTGCTCTGCTGTGAACTATTGTGCAAGGGAAAGAGCCACTGAAGACCGAGATGAAAGTATCACCGGATGCTTCGTGACTTAAGTAGACGAGATCCGGATAAAGAGGGGTTCTCAAGGATTGCGAGTCCCTCGCCGGAGGAGACACCTTTGTTGGTGCGAGCGCCTGGAATATGCATGCAACATCTCCTTTACGATGTTATCTCACTCGCTTGGTTCCATTTCCCTGCATGGAACAAGGATGGCTAGCAAATAGAAAACCTACTCATTTCCTCGCAGTGGGACCATCTAACGGCGCAGCCAACATGCGTACGGAGTAGATGCGGACAGCCGAGACGCGACCAACAGAGACTCCAAATGGGAGCTCACCCCCGCATGTGGCAGGGCTGGAGAGAAAACAATCACTTGAGATAGCAATAGAAATGATTTCAAACGTTGATTGTAAGTCTCGGAACTTCGCATCATCGAAAAGTTTAGATGAAGCTCCAAACCTTTTATGGCAAGTGTCAATTTCTATGCCTCCGACATACCTACAAGAGTGTCGACTACCTCCCCAATCCGACGTGAGATCAAGCTGATGTGCGCCTCTTCTCGAACAATCCTGAGTTCGGCACCTTCAATAATCCCCGCCGCCTCCTCGGCCATCCGTAGTGGGACGTTGACATCCTTGGCCGCATGCCAGAAAACCAGCTTCCCTTCCTGTACAACCAAATCCTTCAACTCAAAACCCCAAGGACTCCCGAATAGTTTCGCTTCCCATGCAAATCCACGACTACTCTCACGAAATGCCTCGCGCGTGCTCTGCTCCAAAACCTGCAAGATCTTGCCGTCATCAGCATACAGCGCTTCCCGATCCTCAACCGGACGATTCTTGAAGGCATCAGCCGTCGCTTGGGCGAGTCTTTCCGGGTGCTCAGAGTCCCGAGCGAGATTCCCAACTTCCCAGTCGGCAATGGCCTCGATGAGTCCCGGCGACCACGGCGCAATGTTGAAGAGCAGGCGGTTCATGAGCATCATGCCGCTCAGACCCAGCTCCGATGGAAACATTCCGGAGACGATTGCTACACCGGCGAGCCGCGGTGCTGGGATCGAGTGAAGGCATGCGAGGGCGTATGGAGCGCCGCCAGAGATTCCCAGTACGGCGAAGCGCTGGATGCCGAGGTGGTCTGCTAGGTGAAGGACATCTTGGGGGAATGAGAGGATTGTGCGGTTGGGCTGGAAGGTTGAACCGCCATAGCCCGGGCGCGTTATGGCGACGACGCCGAAATTTCGTTTAACGGCTTCTTCGTGGACGGGTTGGCCTTCGTGGTGAGAGCCTGGGAGGCCGTGGAAGTGGAAGATTGTTGGTTGGTTCGGTTGTGGGGTGATGCCGAATGTGGTATAGCTGAGGGTGCGGCCATCTGGGAGGAGGAGGGATTGGTCTTTTGACATAACTGCAACTACGAGGAGTCGTGCGGTGAACCTCTCAAACTGATTACCACCTCAGATCATATCATGGTAAGTTGAATGGACGTTGGATCAATCTGACTGTTTATGGGCGCCACCTGAGCCACATCTGGGGATGCGACACGATTACGTACGCGAATCCTTCGACACCAAGCCAATGACAGTTTTTCATTCTGTCGACGGCCTTTGAATTCCGAGTATAAGATATTGGCCTATTGATGCGCAATCAAATTAATTGTGTTGATCGGGAGTGCTGAGAAATCAATTGCTCCGTATGTGTGCATTGAAATGTGTATATGATCTTGATAAGAAAGTTGCTTGTGAGCTTAAAGTGGGAAGTTGCTTCAGGGGTCGACTCTTATTATGCATCTCCCGATACCTCCCTTGCCACTGTTCACCTTCTCACACTCTTCCTTCACCGACTTCAAGTCCGCCAGGTCCACCACTCGAAAGACGCCTTTGACCTTGCCAGTAGCGATAAGCTCACCGGCCTTTTCCAAGTCTTCCCTGATCTCGGGATTGCCAGACACGAATTCGTGCTTGATATTCGTGCCGCGTAACAAGAACGAGTACCACAGCTGGGCTAAGTTCAGCACCCAGACAACCCAGAAGGGAACCATTGCGGCTCCCAGGAGCTCTTTCGTCAAAGCTGGCGGAGGAATAGATGCGATAGACATGATTGTGCCCGTCTCGGGGTTGAGAAGGGGTATTCCGGGACCGAGAGTATTCCACTGCGTGTTGAACATGAAGTCCACGCTTCCTTTGGGTACCACAGAACCGACGTCGGTGGTGGTGTAATCAATCAGCTGATCAACCATCCCTGGCAGGTACTGCTCCACAAGGCTCATCTTAGGAGTTGAAACTGTGGAAATAATCTTGCTGGCGCCAAAGACGTTCTTGGCAACCTGGATCGCGCTGAAGCCTCCACCGCTCAGGGCACCGGGAATGAAGACGGTCTTGCCTTCCAGCGATTCCTCTCCTGCCATGGCAAGCCCGCGTCTAATGGTCTGGTATGCCGTGACGGTGTACCCCAAAAGAGAAGCAGCCTCTTCGAAGCTCATGTGTGGTAGTTTGGGCAGGAAAAGCCTCTCTGGCCCAACGGCGTACTCGGAGCAGAAGCCTGGGTCGGGGATGCTGAAGGCCGGTCGGGTGAAGCATAGCCCGTACACTGCGTCGCCTACTTTGAGGGCTTTGACCTCCTTGCCAATAGCTGCGATGATTCCTGAGCCCTCGCAGCCAATTTTGATGGGAAAACTGAAGATAAATACGTTGTTAGCGCTGCGTGTGAAGATTGGTCAATGGACCCAGCAATTAATGATAATGTACCTTTCTTTGCGTAGTGCAACGATTGGGGAACCCTTGGCTCTCTGGCAGTCGCCCATCATTATAGCTCCAGCTTTCACCCGAATTATAACGTCTGTCTGGCTAGTAATGGTCGGCACCGGCACCTCAGCTACTTCCCAGCCGGCTGGGCTGCAGTGCTTTGGCGCGACGAGAGAGCGCATCGTCTGAGGGAGGAGGGCCATATTTGGTGTTCGCCTTTCTAAAGCCAATGATTTCTACGAGAGAATTACATCTAAGCGTCACGAAATGAATGCATTTAAGTTTCGATGGAAGCAGGCAGCAGTAAGTGTGCGAACGGAGCCTTCAGGTCTCTGTCGGCGGTTTCGGTGGGGCATTCGGCGGTCTCGGCGGCACGGCCCCACCGAAAAGCGCCGAACGTTTCGGCCGTGCGGAGAAGCTCAATCGCGGGGTCGCGCAATGTGAAGGAAAGATGGTCCTTAAACCATTCAAAATGACGCTGAGATCAATCTCGATAGTCAATTCAGTAGATTCTTCACATTTCTCACGCGTCGCGTAGAGGATGACCCCAACCCCCCTCTTCACACGATCTTGCCCTTTATCGGTTTTGGTGGCAGGATGAGTCAAGGGGTAACGGTCGCCCTTGCAGAAAAGAGGGAACGTGACGGGGAAAGTTGGATTGGCGACGCCATCGGACTCTGTCGCGGAATTCTGCATCGCAATAACGCCCAGCGGGGAGGGAGGACTATTTCCGCCGCATTTCTTTTCTGGACACTTTCCGCCCACGGCAGGACCGCAGGAGAGAAGGAGGGGTCGTGATGGGAGGAGTTCCCGCCTGGCTCTTGGAAGATGGAAGATGGAGGATGTAGAATGCGGGAGGTGCGATTGTTCCTGTAGTTTCCAGATGTTATTTAGAGAAAGAAGGACCCTCGAGGTGCATTCATCATGGAGAAGCAGCCAGCAAGTCACTCGCCTTCCCAGTTTCCTAGACCTGGGGCGCCGACGTCATCGTTACTGAAGTCCTCATTGCCTCCAAAATCACGAAGACTCCCGCTTTCAATCCAATATTAGGGCTGTCGGAAATTTGTCGCCCTCTTCTGTCTCTTTCTTCCCACTTGTCTTCCTTTGATACCCCATACACCACCACTTTGCGGCGATGGCGCTGTCCAGTCTATTCGTCTTGTTAGGCATAGCAGTCTCATTGTGTTCTGCAGCTTTCGACCCAACTTCGAAGAACAACGTTGTCGTCTACTATGTAAGTAGATGCACTCTGAAATCGTCGTCATGGTCCTGTGGCTGATAATACGACAGGGGCAAGGTCCGAACCAGGGCGACCTGATCAACCAATGCCAGCAGCCCGAGATCGATGTTATTGTTCTCTCGTTTGTGCATCTTTTCCCAGCCCAGGCAAATGGATACCCTGGAACAAACTTTGGTAATCGATGCGGCGGCCAAGTTTACCCGGGTCCTGGCTTCAACGGTGTCCTTGATCCTTCGAAGGATCAGTTGCAGTCAAACTGCCCTAGTCTCAATGCTCAGATCCCAGTATGCCAGCAGCAGTATGGCAAGAAAATCTTACTATCGCTCGGAGGCGGCGTAGTATCATACCAGCTCACAGGCAGAAACGAGGGTGAACTCCTCGCAACTTACTTGTGGTACATGTTCGGACCGAAAGATCCCAACTGGACAGGACCTCGTCCATTCGATTACAACGGACAAGCGGTTGAGGTTGACGGGTTCGATATGGATATAGAGCATCCATCCACAGGTCGGTTGACATCTTTGCCGTCCCCTTGCCCATGCAGTTCATGAGTGGCAGCTGATACTTAGCTGCCTTCAGACAACTCGGAAGGCTACATTGCCCTGGTCACCCTTTTGCGTACATTCTACGCAACAGCATCGAAGCAATACTACCTGACTGGCGCTCCTCAATGCGTCGTTCCAGATGCCAACATGGCTGCCATGATCTCCGCCGCTAAGTTCGACATGATCTTTGTGCAATTTTACAACACTCCTAGTTGCTCAGCTGCGACTTGGGCGGCTAGCAATCCGTCCTACACCCCCGGTGCGACATATCAGCAAGCCGGGTTCACATTTGATGCCTGGGTTCAATGGCTATCGAACACCCCTAGCAGAGACGCAAAGGTGTTCATCACCCTACCTGGTTCTTCAGATGCCGCGAATGCTGGAAACTACATCACCCATCAGCAGGCAAATAATCTCATCAGCGCGTACTACTGCCGGCCCTCGTTCGGAGGCGTGGCCGTTTGGGAAGCAACTCGCGGTGATAGCAACCCCTATAACGGCAAATCTTTTCAAGCCACCATGAAGATTTGGCTGCAGGGGGCTGCATCAGACACGCGACTTGCCAGCTGCCAAGTAGGTGAACGAATTCCAGAAAGAGTATCACCCAGCTAACAAACACGTAGGCGCCATCAACAACGACGGCATCTTCTAGCCAACCGACGACATCGACAACACCGACACATCCCAACCCCGGCGCGCCTGGTTCTTGCGGTTCCGGTATTGGATCTTGTGGTAACGGATACTGCTGCAGTGCGTATGGATACTGCGGGACAACAAGTGCTTACTGCGGAACGGGTTGCCAATCGGCCTTCGGTACATGCAGCGCGGGAAGCAGCTCAGGAGGCAGCTCAGGAGGTAGCTCTGGTGGCAGCTCTGGTGGCAGCTCCGGTGGTAGTTCCGGCGGTAGCTCAGGCAGCGGTGGGAGCTCAGGGCTGCCGGTCGCAAGAGACGGAGCGTGTGGTGCAGGAATAGCGACTTGCCGAGGCAACGGTGACTACCAATGCTGCAGCAAAAATGGATGGTGTGGTAATTCGGATCTCTACTGCGGTGCTGGATGCCAACCCGGGTATGGCATATGCAGTTGATTTCGAGAGCGGACCGTGGGGTGAAGTACATAGATATCTTTGGCACGTTTGCACATGAGAAGGGGCCACCATAGTAATACAACATACTAATGTCAGCTAAAGGTTCTGGCGAGGGAACTTGCAGTTGACTATGAATAATGTCATGGCATAGACCTATGACATCTTTGAGAGGCTGTCACGTGAGATGCGATGGTGAAGTCGTGAGCACGACAGCGGGCAGTGGGCACAGATGCCATTCTCCACCTGCTGGGATCTTCCTCCACAAACCCACAGCCTCCCACCGTTCCACTCCATCCATCCCACTGCACATCGCAGATCCGATAATCCAACTTCACTGCCTTACTACGCACGTATACACTTGCTCTCGACTTGCAACTACCTCTTGTCAGATGACTTGGACCACAACATTGGATGACAACCGATTCCCTGGAGACGGCGAGCGAAGGCCTCGGATGGGGGACATCGTCGAACCTTCAGATTCAAAGCCCGTTACTGAAACTCTCTAGTTGTCCGCGGCCCGAAGATTACTAAATAATTGTAGTACATGCTGCCGACATGCATACTCGAAACGGAGATGACAGATCCGGGCTCCTCGCGGTACGGCAGTTAGGAGAGGCCGGAGTTTTCCCCGAAGGCTACCTCATTTGCGTCTTACGACCAAACCTCTCGGCTCTCGGTGCACCATTCGATGATGGTGGGGACGCTTGGAAAACCTTCTGTGCTGTCGTTCTGTCCGTCCCATCTCGCCAGACCACTTGAAGGCTCGCAGACGGCTAGACTAAGCCCAATGACTCGCCAACATCTGCTCACTCCTTCTTATTCCCACACTTCCAGAGTTGTGCCACCGGAACGTCAACATGAAGCTTCTTGTAATTCGCCGAAAAGCTAACCAGCTGCCGGGTTGACGGACTGACGTTCGACTAATCGGCTCCGACGAGGGCGGAAAAAGATGTCTTCTATCACCGGCCAAGCAATTGGGTTTATCTCAAATCGACGCCCGCCTTTGGCACGTGTGTTGTCCATCGAACAAAATCATCACGACTTGATTCAGGCAGTGGTGGTTCCCCCGCGTATGCACGACAACCCTACCGCTATCGCTGCCGACATCGCTGCCGGTCTCTCCGCTAGGCTGCTGCGGCCAACGACCGAGAAAGATGTCATCCCCATGCGTTGGGACCTCGAGCTAATCTTGGAGCCAAGATGGGAGAACTAGCCCCATCGTGAAACCTGGCTTCGAGAAGATTTGCGGACGGCCCGCTCCTCAGGGGCTCAATGCCGCAGCTTTCTTCTTGTCAATCAGCCTCTAGCCGAAGATATTGCGGGAAAGGAACCATAGCCTCGGTGCGACCTAAACTCATAACGACATCACAAACCATTACGTGATGTTCTGGCTCCAGTGCGCTGCTCGTCTTTTGCATGCCACTAACCTTCGGATGCCCCGCAAACGATGACTCAAGTACCCTACGGACATGGACTTTGGGGAGGGGGGCTAATTATGCCGACAGCTTTCGGTATGACTGCAGCATGCGATTATATGCAAAGACATGTGTCTTTCGCCAACACCGTATTTGCGCCTTACTGCAACGCTGCGAGATGCCGAACTCCACCGAATCTCCAGGCTCAAAAAGAAGGAAGGAGATGAGATCCGCGCCGGGTCGCTGATCCATGCATCCCGTCTCTCTGATGGAACGTTTCCAGAACGCGCGTTTATATCCTTCCAACGAAAAGCCGTCCTGCCACACCAATAGCATATATGACCTCACGTCAAGGATGAGGGCGACGTGCTCCAAGATAATTGCCCGAAATCCCCAATATCCGATAGCTACCTTACTATGCGTAAGCGGAGCCAGGAGGACGGCAAATGCAAGGAAAGGTCTTCGTCTCTTCAAACCCCAAGCAACCGCAGATTTCATGTTCCAATTACCAAGACGATAGTCGGCGCACGTTCCATGGGCTAGATTTGGGTCGAAACCTTCGCAGTCACTTCCGACAAGCACATCCATGTATCCCGAAGCCTGAGGGAATACGAAGTCTCGTTAATATGAAATGGCTCTTACTTGGACAATTTCCAATGACCGGAGTGCAACATCCGGCACCGCTACTACGGCTCGTCCAGGAGGCTCTACGGGGTTTGATCAGGAAACCTCGAGATGGTTACACGGCGCCCGCGGCATTCCCGCCGTCTTCTTGCAGAACCAGATTAACTCCTGAGAAGCATATGTTGCCAATCTTGGATGGGGGTTTCAAGCGAAGCATCAAGAAACTCTGCTTTGTCCTCAAGATACAGGAGGTTGTCGGCCACCTCCGCCAGCCCAGGGCTAATCCGAGCAGCTTCTTCACCCCAGATGCACGAGCCACGTGCTCACCACACTTCTTTTTTAACTATCCGTACGGACTTTTGAAATAGAAGAAAAGACCGGCTTGGGTGATCCCGGAGCCAACAGCAGCATCTCGTGTTCGATTCGTCCATGTACGTTTCTACGCTGACGAGAAGACAGTCCCCAAGCGCAGAATTCGCCGCGAAGATCAGATGCCAAGCTTTCTTCTTTCTGCCCACTCCCTCCCTTCGTTGGGCCTCTCATCCCTCAGCTTCGCAGCCACGAAAGTCTCTTTTGGGGTTAAGTCGCCCGCCCTAATGCCGACGACCAAGTCATGTCCCAATGACACCTTGCCAGGGATCGGCGCCTTAACAGCTGCAGACATGTCCCTCACCGCTTCCATGGCCGATCTTCTGCCGCTCTCGCATTCCATGTCGTTCAATATTTGGCTTTGCTCTCCACTGGCACCATCAGCAGAGTTCTGGCTGCTCCCTCCACGTTGTCAGCCAGCAAGGGCCATCTTCTTTCAACAGGAGACTGTAACTGCCCTTGGGAGATTGACCATTTTGCTCACATGCTCTGCGTTTTCGCGATTAGGGGGGAAAACAGCACCCACTAGCGAACGTTACTTCTGACCCTCATCTCCCATCGGAATGGCCGGCGCTGCATGGTTTCTTCTCTCGCGTTGACACTTACCCCGACTGGGCCTCGCCTTGGAAGGATGAAGCCGCCGTTTGCTTCCAGCGTGGGTTACCTGCGGCAGAAGGCTGGTTTTCTTCCATGCTGCAGTGAAAAAACGTTCTAGTGTTAGTGTGTGTTGGCTCGTTGAAGGCGACGCCATCCGTACCGTTGTGCGTGTACCGTTCCCTGACTCGCCCATGAAACACGACGTCTTGGGTCCGATCGCAACGCTACTCTGAGTGTTTGCTGCTAGCCTAGAGGGCTCGCCTCAAAAACACCAGCCCTCTGCGCATTCTAACTCTCAGCCCCCCTCCTGTGCTCGTCCGCTCTCCGTTCTTGAACCGGCCACGAACGAGCCCAAGTTTTTGAAAAGCCAGATCGGGACCCTGCTAGACATTTTCGATTTTTCACTTCCAATTGTGCATGACGTCGTGGAACCACTCTTTGTTGACCATGCTCTCGGTAAGTTCTGTTGTTTAATCCCTTTTGTCAGTTCCTGTTCCTTCTCATCTCAACTCTCCACTAACACCCACCTCTTCCGGTCATGATGCAGAATACGGAATAATATCTGTTAATGTCTCAGCCTCGCTGCTATGATGTTCAGGCTGGTCAATCATGATGACCCTCCTCTCCCCGCACTTCAAGCTCGAAGAGGTCTCCGAAGATGACATGGTCATTGCATCTCTGGCCTGGGGCTTCACTCTCGGCTTCGGTTGGCTCACAGTATGGACGGCGATCAAGCAGACCACCGCCATGTATAGGCGGCAAGGCGATCGTATCTACCGCAACGCATATATCTGGATGATTTGGCTGGAGATTCTCGTGTGCACCATCTTCAGCATTATATGTTGGTTGCATCTCAAAGGCATCATACCGCCAAGGTAAGTCAATACACTACTCTAAGACAGTATCGAAATGATTCTGACTGCCGGCGTCTTCAGCTTTGCATTCTACTTTTGCATCTGTAGGTTACCTACTACTACCTTGTCTGCTAGGCCATTTACTGACCACCACAGTGACCACTTGGGCTCTCCAGGTTCAATTTCTTCTCCAAATCATCATTAACCGATGCGCCATTCTTCTTACCAACCAGAAGCGGGCATGGCGACTTAAAGTAGGCGTCGCCGTACTGATCACCGCCATCAACATTTCCGTCTACAACATTTGGGTGCCGGCTCGGTTACAGATATCAGAAAGATATATCGAAATCAACGAGTGGTGGGATCGCTGCGAAAAGGTCATTTACTTGATTGTCGATGGCGCGCTCAACATCTACTTCGTGCGCATCGTCCAGAAGAACTTGGTTACCCACGGCCTGACTAAGTACAAGCGACTGACGCAGTTCAACATGTTCATCATTGGGTTTTCTTTGAGCATGGACGTGCTTATCATTGCGATGATGAGCCTCAACAACACATTTGTGTAGGTGGTCTTGCGCGAATCCCAAACTCTCGTTGTAGACATGACGGTGGGGTTTGGGTAAGTGTGCACAGCGCACTAACGTTGCTCTTTAGTTATATGCAGTTCCACCCCTTGGCATACATGGTCAAGCTCAAGATCGAAATGTCGATGGCCGAGCTGATTGGCAAGGTTGCTCGGAAACGCGATCTCGGCATCCTATCTGCTGCCGACTTCAACGGGAACCGAGACTCGTATCAGCCGTCCGAGTACAGCTTGCAGTTACCTACTTACGCGAGAGGTCGCCCTGTCGGTGGGATCGATGCCACGATCAGCAGCCAACCCCCGAATCCCATCGAACTCAACAATGTCGCGAAGCCAAAGATACCCGCATTGCGAGGAGTTAACGTCGCTGCCGTCAGCTCCGGTCCGAGCAGTCGGAGACCTTCGATAGGTGCCGCGAACGCTACCGACGCCGACGGACAGCCCAAGATGGCGATTTACAGAACGAGGGAGGTAGTCGTCGAAATCGAAAGGGTCCCTCCTACTCAGGGCCACCAACCAAGTACGAGCCAGGCGAGTCAGCTTACCCTCGACGACTCTTTCGATATCACCAACTTTGAGGACGATTCATCGATCAAGGGTCTCTCGGCGGCTCAAAAATCACTGGCATTGCCAAACATCCAAGCCCCGTGGGCCACGCAAGAATTTAGCACCAAGATATGGGACGGCACGAATTGCGACGAGGATCCCACCCTGCCGACAACAATCGCGAAGATTGGATCATGGCCAAAAGACACCTGAAAGAGGGGTTACAAATCAAGCGCACTACACTATCGAGACCACGCGGCCGAGGCACCTCGTCTGGCCAAGGTGGACCCCGACCACGCTCAGACAGAACCGAGCGGGTGATGCGGCGGGCGAAGCTTGGATGACGACTAAGGGACGCCACACATCACCCAATCGCTGGATCTGTCGCTGGATGGGAAACCCTAAAAAGAAATCGGTTGAACGCCTCCTCACCTCCCCCCTTTGTACGCCACATTCCCTCGTGCGGCTGTCTCAACCCTTTCGAGTCTCGACGCTGTGGCGGAGGGGATGGAGGATTCCATACGCCTGAGACCCCCCCCCCCCCCCGTTTCTCGTAGGGCTCGATGGCGCTCAGTTTCAGCACTGCGGTTTCACAAACGTTGCTGCAGAGAACTAGATCCGTAGATCCGATCTAGAGAGTCATCATCGTCGACTCGACGGGCTGAACTTCGTGGGATGAACGATTTAGTCGAGGATGACGGTATCGGCGCACTGTCGAATCTGAGCCCAACCCAGGACTCCATTCCACCCCGGCCTTCCCCACGAATACAATTATCAATATGTTATGAAATCAAAGTTAGACGAAGGCGAGCATGGCAGGCAAGACCTAGGCTGGATACAACCAGGCTGTCTAAGGGTCTCCCTGGAGAAGTGCAACTTTCACCAGTTATGAGCGACGGAGTAATATTTGCTGCTTCTTTCGATTTGGGCTGCATGCACCAAAAAAAAAGCCATGGTCACCGAGCAAGGCGTTCTACGGCCGGGACAAACTTTTGCGGGATATCATTTTTTGTGTTTTTTCATTAATGATACATGGGCACAGGAGCGCGAGCTCCTATTGTTATCTTTCAGGAATACCCCCGAGCTAGGAAAAGATATGAAATACGGTTATTGGTGAGGCCACTTCGCATGGCTTCATCGTTGAATATGACTTTTTCAATGTGCTCTTCCTTGTAGTGATGAAAGAGTTTGTGAGCAATGTTGTGAGTACCTAACATGCAGCGTGCGGCTCCTGCCAAGGGAGTCGGAGAATATTGACACGCCCGCGGGAGAATATTCGGAGTCAGTGGAATGGCACGGGTATCCTGGCCGTTTGTTGCACCAGTGTTTTCCCCTTGGTGAACGTTTCGACTATGTTGGATTTTATGGTGCTTCGGAAGCTGGGCGCGGCGGCTGGGTCCTGTACGGGACGGTAGCACCCGCTTCTCCCGTTCCCCCCTCATCACGGTTTTGTGAAAAGAAGGCTTTGTAATGGGTGGTAGTCTCATCGTTTGTTGGTTATTTGGTCTTGGTGGCTATATTTGCTTCGGGTACGGTACCTAGGCTATAGGCTATGTGTAACATGATGAGAGGTAGGGAGTCTCCGAGCTAAACGACTGTGGAACCTCAATGTGTAAGTTTTAGTGATATGCTTATCTTACAAGCATATATGATTGAATAGGACCGGATCTAGAGCACGAATACCTAGTTGAGATCCCTCAGATTCTCGATCCCAAGTAGGCGGCAAGCATAACCACGATGGGATACATTACCTCATTTACATTAGCCTCCCTTGGACTTATGGATAAGCACAACGGAGCGAATGGGAAATACGTTCTCCTAAGCTGACTTGTCGAAGTTCAATCTGTCTGATCTTAGCTGGCTCTGTCTTATTCGGCATGCAGGCTACCTCATGCCAAATCAAAACCTCCAATGGTCAGTCAAGTCGCCTGGCCTGCGGCATCCCAAGTCGTGAAAAGCTCTTTAGACGTTTTGGTCTTTTGCAAAGACTGCGCTGCCCTAATTTTATTCCTGCGGTACTTCTCTCTTCGGGACCAAGTCCAGCCATGGTCTGACGAAGGCACACGCTGGCAGGCCACTTGAAGAGCCGGCGGCCGGGCGACCCACTTTCTCCGGCACTCGGATTCGGAGGCAATAGCCGGCTCCGAGCGGGGAAGCATTCGCCGGCAGACCAAAATACAGGAACTCGCGCTTCAGCCTCCACCTTTCACACTCCGGATTGAAGGCAGGGGGTGGGTGGTTCGCCGGAGCAGGTCAAATTTGCGTCCTTAGGATGAGTTAAAGATGCAGTGCAGCGTTTCACCCCCCCTCCCCGTTCTCCCTGCCGTCAGTCCCGCTCCTCGCATCCAGCACCCCGTACTCATCTCCTCTCCTTGCCCAATAAGTGAACAGAGGCGATGCCGCTCAGCATTCAAAGACCCTCTGCATGAGTTGAAAATGCATTTTTGGAGCTTGGATCAAAACTGCGTTGTACTCGGGAGGGGTGTGCGCAAATCAAGTGTAAAAACCATCAGCCTGCACCAGCGTCCAAGCCGTCACGACTGGCCGGCGGTAATAAGGTCCGAACCGCAGCAACCCAAGCGTCGATAGCGACGCGCATTCAGCGTAATTCGCTTTATCTGAAGAGTTTTCAACATATTACCACAATCTGGAAAGCCTAGAGAAGATGGTCAACTTTGGAGGATCCGCCGCTAACGTTTGTCTTCAGCCTGTTCGATAATGGTGTTCAAGACCCTCCGCGTGAGGTTAAGAATGCAGTGAACTACACCGCCTATTCACACAGAAAGGAGCCAAGTAAGCACCCCCTTTGAGAACCCTTCGGGCGGGTTAAAGATGCAGTGAGGTGCGAGTGTGATGCAGCTGCGCTGAGTTGGCAACACCATCACGATTGCCTTGGACGCCTTTTTCGGTAATGACGGAGGGGATGTGGTTCGCGGATGACTTCGGCGGACGTGTTCAGTCGCTCAGAGATGGTTGCGCCTAGGCTGAAGATACGTTCGTGCAAAACCTTGGTTCACTTTGTCGGTTTCTAAGTCCCGGTGCCCGAGTAGGTCACCAGTTTGGCGTCATGCCAGGCTCTGTAGCCGCCAGTCTTTGCTTTACTCGCATCCTAACGCAGCTAGGTTCTAGAGCTCTCTATTTTCCTTCATTGTGGCATCGAGCTCGCTGTTCGGTTCTGAGGTACTGGTTGATGTTGTTCGGGTTTCCAGAGCTCTTTGATGTGTGCTAAACTCCTACGATCTCTACCATAGCAATGAGCCTAGCAGATGTCAGGCGGTGCAAAAGACCCACTTCCACCGGCATCCGGCTCCGGTCATCGTGTAACGGAGCGGGAGGCCTCTACTGACAACTCGGGGGCAGAAAACCTGGGCCCCGCCTACAGTGACCGACTTGCTTCCTTTCTCCGACGACACGGAGACAATAATCTTCTTTTCGCGAGCTATAAATGCAGTGCAATGAAGAGGATGTAGTGGCTGGCCCGTCACGCGCCCTTTGCGTGAGTTAAGAATGCAGTGCAGGCGGCCAAGAGGAGCTGAAAACAAAGTTCTGATAATGAAACCCAATCTGCCAATGCCCAGGTGTGTGGTGAAGTCTGGCTCGCGATGATGAGGTTCAATCGCCACAACAAGCCTTTGAAATGAAAAACATCCATAGGCGAATCCTCTCTAGTTCACCCCTGTGCAGCATCTTCTCGTGCCAAAAAGCCCGAAATCATCGTTTTCTAAGGGGAGGAGGGCCCATCACTACTCTCACCACCGCTATTGACTCTTGCTCTCGGCCCCTCGTGTAAGAATGCGGAAGACCCTTCGAGTGAGTTGAAATCGCAGTAAAAATAGGGCTGCACGACAAACAAGTACATCAGGTAAGGTACTTGAGATATGTGTGAAAAAAGCAACGGCGCGTTATGACCGGGCTGCATCACCAGTCAACCCATCGACATCAAGCCACAATCTGCACCGCCAACTTTACCTCGCATACAGCTGAACTCCCGAGGCTCACTTTCTCTCGTTTCTGCGAGTCTTCTCTCAAACAAGGTCTCAGATGACGACTCCTCCCTCGTATCGCAAACCCCTCTGATTGGTCACCTAATAAACTCGACACATCCCGTCGCAAAGCCCGGGCGACCTCGGTGCACGCGGGGTACCGCACCGGCTCCCTCCCGGGAGCTCCGTTAAGGACCGGTGGGATAGCTATCGAACCAAAAGAATTCCCGATGGTGGCACAGCACCACACCACCCAACAGGCGCTCCCGAGTCCCGAGTCCTTTGGTGAATTGTTAGTGTCTCCTTCCCTTACCTCAAGGCTCCCCGATTGCCGGTTGCCGGGCAGCAGCCGATCCAAGGCCAATGGGAAAGCCCAGCACATCAAAGCTACCACTTAGTAAACTACTGCACGTCGGACGGATGTAACGACGCGGGCTGGCAAGCTTGGTAGCTTGGGGAGCCTCCAACCAACAGCCCAACGCGATGTTTCCTTCTCCCTTTTTTCCCCTGTTTTTTTTTTTTTTGCCGTTCTCCACACAAAGGAGCTTCTCCCAGGATTCAGACCACGCCATTACGGGGGTAGGATCGACTCCCACTAGACAACGGGGGTCAGTCTCCCAATCAACGGTCCCGATATTAATAGGATCGACCGCGGGGAAGAGAGAAAGAGGGAGAGGATGGCGGATGCACAACTAAACCTGCATTGCAGGCTTGCAGGCTTGCGGCTGGGTGGGCACTGCCGGGATATGCAGAATGGCTTTCAGCTGTTTTTTTCGTTTGTTGTCACACGTCAGACTGGAGCCACCGCGCCCATCAGGATCCAGTCCAGGGAAACAATACACGACAAAAAGCAGGGAAACGGAGAAGAAAGAAAAGGAATGGGATTTTCTTGGACTCGCTAAAGGGACTTGGTAGAAAGAGCAAAACCCATATTTACTTCCTTACCTCCCTCCCCGTCTCCCTTTTTTGTCCCGCTCTAGTGATTCTGCTCCTTCTCTCTATCCTCATCCCACAAACCGCCATCACCAGTGACTGAAGCATCAAAAACGAACATCACGATACGGTCAATTCCTAATACCCAATCACAACCACAGCCTCACACCACCTCCCAAATCCCCCAAAACAACACCGCAACAATGTCCTCAACAGCAGTCTCAACAGGCACCGCCGCCGCCCCCTCCGCAACCTCGACCTGCACCGCAAGCCTCTACGACACACCCGAACACGACCGCGTCTGCGCGATGCCCTACGGCGGCAACCACACAGACATAATGTCCGCCTGCTGCAACGACGCAGACGTGGTCGCGTACTACGACAACTGCGGCCTCTACTGCCTCGCCCTAGACCAATCCGTCAAAGACCTCCAAGACTGCCTCTTCGAACAGGGCGCGGGCTACACCGAGGTCTTTTGCCGCGACAACGGCAACGTGAACGCCTCCGCCACGGCGACGGGCAACGTTGACCCGCCCGCTTCGGCGCAGGCGAGTGTTGTTGCGTCGGGCGGTTCCGGGTCCGGGGCTTCGGCTTCGGCGAGCGGGAGTAAGAGCAGTTCTAGCTCGACTTCGTCGGCGAATGCTGCTGCCGCGGGCGTGCATGTCCCTGCTGGCGTGAACACATTGGGCCTGACGATTGGCGCTCTGCTTCTCTCTGCTGCGACATTCGGCGCTCTTCAGATCTAAGAATGAGAGAGTCAGGGTGATTTGAAGAAGTAAACAAGGACATTGGAAAAACGGGGCGATGGAAATGAACATGGCTGGGCTATGGAGGTCCCGGATATGAAGTGACAAACGGCCGATCGACATAATGAGATCACATTACAACACTACGATATTACTCGGTGAATACGGCCGAAGGCAGCTACCTAGACCAGCATAATAGCAGCAGAGTACGTGACAAAAGCACGCGATATACTGTCTGCGTTCACAGGAGGAAAATGTATTTAGCATGTTGTTCAATCAAGTTAGTATCGAAACTTTACTTATGGAAACAAAACCGCCTGCGGCGCTTCACCGTTCCGTGGAGCACATGAAACCATGTAAGCTGACGAGTGTGTTCCTCGCAAATTCTCACCTGAGGCTCGCAGCCCCGAAAGGCGCCCCAAGTGACCTGCAGTCGCATGAGCGGCACCTACCTACCTTTGTACATACCTTAGGAAATGCACCATCTCACAACCTGCGAACCCGCCTGCGCCCGTCTTTCCACCGGGATTGGATAGCGATTGAGCCTATCGGCCGGTCCTCCATTCCAGTCTAGTCAAAGCAAGGTACAATGCAAGGACTTCACTGCGATTTAAACTCACTCAGAGTGTCTGCGATATGCTCACCTGAGATGGGAGGTAGGGAGCATGAGTCGGCGGTGGCGGCGGCGAGAGTGGCGACTGCTCCCAACTTACTAGAAGGATGCGGAGGGACGTTTGGCACGGGAAGATGTTGCACGGGGCAACGATCGAAAAGAGAAGATTCGACTGCAAATATGTCGCCTCATGGGCTGACCTTTTTCTGATTGAACCTCACCATCGCAAGCCAGCACTGCTACACCTTCAAGTTGGACGCTGATTCGCATCTCCGCTCTTCCGGCAATTATGTCGCACAGCCTCTACAATGCTCCAGCGTAAGCAACGCTATGGGAGTATACGAGTTCACTTGCATTTGTATCTACTGCGGAGAGCCTGGGCGTGCTGAGGCAGGTGGACTTGGCTTTGCTGGGTGAGTTTCACTTCAGGCGGGCGGGCCATGAAAACGCCTTCTTTCGCTCATCACGAGGAGCTCTTTCGTCTTCGTGGCGTTCAAGAAAGAAGCGCTGCACTTTGATGGTTGCAAATGGGTCCAAGGTGTTTTGGCCCCGACGAGCCAGCGAATGCCTCCCGCTCGGTGATTCCGGACCCACCGCGACAGAAGCCGGCTGCCTGTGGAAACGGGTCTTTTGCACAGCCGTGTACGGTACCTACGGTCGGCTCGCTGCTCAAGTAGAAAGTCGCGGGAGCTAATCACAACCAAAAATGCGCAAGGATTACAAACTACCGTGTCCAACGGTTCCAGCTAGCCAGATGGGTGCTATGGTAAGGTAAGTCTTGAGAAGTTTGGAGGGCGCAAGGGGTTGGGAACCTGACTCCAGCGGACCTATTGGTGTCTCTCGGCTCAGTGGCTCCGGATTCACCGGGACCGGATCTCAGCTGCCGGTGGAAAGCAGGCCCCGGGCCGTCCCCTCGCACCCCCCGAGACTGAATGGCTCGCTGCTCACCTTATCCGCTCAACGCATACATTCATTCTTCTTGGAGGACATAAGTCATCGCTTCCGGTGATTTTAATTCATCAATTGACAAGGTAGACGCACTTTTATCACACCAAAGAACGCCAAGACCAGCGGAAGCAGTCAACCAGGTAAACGCTACAGTACTAGGACCTAGAGGAGATAGAGGGACCTTTGATTCTTGGTATGAACCATACTTCATGGCTTGCTGTGGACAGACATAGCCGGGAATGATTCTGTCGTAACATACACAATGAAGAACTTGGAAGAAAGCGTGAGAAGGTGCAAGGCTAGATTGTGGATAGTGAGACTATCGATGTGATGTAGTAGCAAGACCGTAGAGAGACTTTACCCAGTACTGGAGATCGAAATCCCTGCTGGACTGGTATGGCCTTGGATGATCCTGAAGCTTAATAGAATCCGGCATGCACCGCTAACCACAAACTCGGATTCAGACATCTCCCAGACAGAGTTGTTACGTCAAAGGTGCATTATCCTCGGCAACAATATATCCTCGGCTAGGACATGATGCCAGGCCCACACGAGCCCCCAAAAGATGCAAGTTTGCAGCTGGCCCTTTTCCTTTGCGGGAGAATGCTAAATGACACGGATGACGATCTCCACGGGCCCAGCACTCTGGTAAACCATTGTGCGAGGGGGTCGGGGAAAAGCAATGACCCCCCCTTGCGGGGAAACAATCTGGGGAAATCGCAGTGGGACCCCAGAGAATCTCCACATTCTCCGCATTTGAACAGCATCTAAGCATCTCTCTTGAGCTTCTTCATCTCTACCCCATGTCGGCAGTTCATCTGATCTCGACTTCTGCTGAACATTCTTCCTGGCCATCCTTGCCATTTCCATGTTCCCCCCCCCCCCCCCCCCACGGTTCTCCAGCTTGGCCCCAGCCGGGCAGCCGGGCCTTTGCCGGGCCTCTGGCTATAAAAGATCCCGTTGTGTTTCTCCCGCCAAGAAACTGATGTGATCTACAGCTAGATCTCAGGCACGGCATTACACCTCGAGAGGAAAGCGAACCACCAAGCTCAATCAAACTTCCGTCATGTTGTTTGTCTTGACTGCCAGTGCGGCTGCGCTGCTGCTCGCGGCCTCACCCGCGCTTGGTGCTGGCCTTCCACCGAGCGGTAACGCAACCAACCCCGTCATCAACCTTGGCTCGGCTGGTTCTTACCTAGGTGTGGTCCAGAACAATGGAACGTATGTTCGGAACTCTAACTCTAACCTTGCCACCCTTGCCCCCTTCCTTGTCTTGATCCTCCCGGGACAAAAGTAGCTGACTCTGAATTTTTTGGGTTCGCAAAGTGTCGCCTCCTGGAAGGGAATCCCATACGCCGAGCCCCCAGTCGGTTCGCTCCGCTTCATGCCTCCCAAGGCCCTCGGGGCTCGGGGCTCGGACGTAATTGACGTGACAGAGAATGCCCTGCGGTGTGTCCAGTTCGCCGGCGCGCCGTACGGGGTCGTCAACAGCAACATTGTCGGTCCGCGCTCCGGCCCCGGACAAGAGGACTGCCTCAAGCTGTGGATCTGGAAGCCCGCCAAGGCTAAAGCCGGCGACAAGCTCCCCGTCATGTTCTACATCCACGGCGGCGGTCTGCAATACAGCGCGGCGCCCAACAACGACTTTAGCGACTGGGTCGGCCAGAGCCAAGACTTCATCGCCGTCAATGTCGGCTACCGCCTCGGCGCTCTCGGCTTCATGGCCCACCCGTCCCTGCCCTCGGCCAACGCCGGTCTGCTCGACCAGCGCCAGGCCCTCCGTTGGGTCAAGCAGAACATTGCGGCCTTTGGCGGCGACCCTGGCGACGTGACCATCATGGGCCAGTCCGGCGGTGGCTACGCCGTCGTCTCGCAGATGGTGCTCTACGACGGGGACAACCAGGGTCTGTTCTCCAAGGCTGTGCCCCGTTCCGTGCAGAGATCTCCCAGCTTCCGCGTAGACGAGCTCGCGGACCGCAACGCCGAGTACTTTAAGCTGCTCAACTGCACAAACGGACAGGCTCAGTTAGACTGCTTCCAAGGTGCCTCCGTTCCTGCAATGGTGAATGCCTACAACGCCTTGTCCAAATACAAGGCTTCTTCAGGGTATGGAACCACCACCTTGAACTCCCCATATGCTGGCGCAAAGATGAACATTTTCCTCGGCTAACGTTTACTGCCCAGCGAATTCAACAACCTCACCTTTGGCAGCTCAGGCGCCTTCTTGCCCATGATCGACGGCGTCACCCTGACCGACTCGGTCACACGGCTCTTCAAAAAGGGCAAAGTCGCCAAGGTCAAGACAGTCGTGGGATTCGTCAACGACGAGGGCGCCAACATTGCACCCCGCAACACGAGCGTCCTCGACTCGACCACAAACGGAATCTGGAATTTGACCGACAGCCAGGTCAAGCAGGCCGCCAGCTACTACCCCAACAACTCTACGTTTGGCTACGCCAGCCCAGACAACTTCTTCCTGACACTCTTCAAGTCCTACATCATGGCCCTCAGCCCGTTCGGGGAGCAAGGCATCACCGGCTCCGAGCGTCTCGTGGGACGATACATGTCCAAAGCCGTCGGCGAGAACAGAGTCTGGGCATTCCGCTTCAACGCCCCCGGCGTCGGCACAAATTACTCCTCCTCCAGCGCCAGCACCAACCCGTACCCGCTCAACTACGTCGCCCACTCCGCCGACAACAGCTACCTCCAGAACGCCACGGCCGTCATGACACCCTTTGAAAAGAGCCTCGCGCTCGAGTGGCGCGCCTACATCGGGAGCTTCATCCGCCGCGGCGACCCGAACAAGGAGAAGCTCGCCACGTCGCCCACGTGGCACAGCTACGGCGCCCTAGGAGGAGCAGAAGAGTTTGTCGATTCCCCCGTGAGATTGGTCCCGCAGTTCGCGTACCAGAGTAACGCGAACGAGAGCTTGCCCACGAGCACGCAGCTCGAGGTCTCGCAAAAGGCTCAGCTCGAGAGGGTCGATTGGTGGTTGACGGATGCCATTTTGGATGCGACGCGCGTGTGAAAAGAGGAAAAAGTACCTAGTGCCAACGTACTCCAATCCTCTCTCTGCCTGTTCCGTCCAATGTGTTAGAAACTGAAATAATTTCCTCAACTCCCAAGGTGTGAAGCGTCACAGCCTTCTATCACGAGGCAAAAGTCTATATATAGTTAATGTTGAATGACTAGTACTTAGCTATCCCATGTTTCTCCTATTTTGTACCGTGTTCAACTATGGAAAACTCAGAATGGCTCAAGTCAGCAAGCCAATCGCACACCACGGGAACGATAGCTCTGGGGACGTTGAGGACGCGGACCGGGGGTGGGTATATTCTCAAGTTCTAGACCTCGCGGTCTCATCTCAAACTTCTGCAGAGCTGCCAGAGGGACCGGAGTTCATTGCGTACTGTCCTTCAGGTCTTCACTGAAAGGTCAGGTTCCATGTCCAGCACTGCATTTCAGTGGCTCCGGATTCCCCGGGTCCGGGGCCCACCTCAGCTGCCGACAGAAAATGGGCCCCGACCGTCCCCCCCGCACTCATCGAGACCGAATGGGCTCGCTGCTCAGCTTTACATTTTCGAGGTTCGAAGCATACTATATCCATTCTCTTTAGGGATCTCATGCATCGCTTCTACTCGTTGTACTTCATAATCGACTAGAAATCAGGTGGAATTCGTAGGAGCTCAAAGTTGGACGCATTGATCACAGTGAGAATGCCATAGTCAGTGGAGCCAGTCAGCCAGGTAAGTAGATAGTACAGTACTGGAACCTGAGAGGCGAGAGAGAGAGAGAGAGAGCCGTGATGTATGATGTATATGATCGACTACCGCTGCTGTTATCATTGTTCTGAATCCGATGGCGTTAACAGTACGCTTACGGGTATTGAAGTTTATGGTGAATGAAAGAATGAACTTCCCGTGCCTTGCTGTTGAACCTTTCACATCTCAAGCATTTAGGTGTCTTATTTCTATGGTCAAATTCTTCGTTCTTCCGATGAACCTGCCAATGATTTATTTCAAAGTGGGCGAGCTTGAAGATTAATCACACAGGAATCTTCAAGATGGAACGTTCAAAGTCATGTTTTATTACATTATCTGAGCTCAGGCAATATTCACAGGTAATAGCCCGTCTTTTCCCAAAAACTCACGGTAACCGCACGTGCTGAACAAGAACCCAGCATCCATGATCATAAGTCATACATCATCATAACTTCGTGATAGCATGAAACTCTCTCCTTCTAAACCTGCGCCTTCGTCAAACATCCGTCATCATACTCATCTTCTCTATCGCAGATGGTACCGTCAAACTTTGCGACGGCTCGCCGCCCTATGATGCTGCTGCGCTTCATGTTCCGGCTTGGCACCTCCTTCTTTTCGTCACCATAGCGGCTGAGTCCTTCCATAGGGTTGATAGGGCCCGGACCCATCATCGACGAACCTCCTGCACTGTTATCGGGAACGGCAGAGTTGACAGGAAGCGCGAGTCCATTGCTGCCAGACGACCCAGAGTCCCTTGCTCCCAGACTGCTGCCGTACGCGCCATCAGGGCTGCTCTTGGGCAGCGCATTGATGATGCTCTGGATGAGAGAAGCAATGTCGATCTGAGGGTGCGGTGCAGGATTTTGAGATGCAGGAGTGGTGCTGCTGTCTTGAGGATTTCCTGCCGGGGGTGGTCGAGGCTGACCTTGACCTGGTGTCTGAGGGAGTGATGCCGGGGGTGCGGCAGGAGGTCCCGCAGGAGGTCCCGGAGCAGGATTTTGGGGCGCAGATAGTGGGTTTGCGGCACCTCCATTGTTGCCGGTGCCAGATCCACTGTTGTCGTTGCCGTTGCCACTGCCACCGCCGGCGCCATTGGCAACATCGTTATCGGACGGCAAGCTCAAAGCCTGGCCGGTTTTACTGTAAACAGTGACAGCCCAGTCACCTCCACAGATGTCGGTTGACTTGCCATCACAGACTTCGTTGCACTGCTCTTCCGGGATGCGTACGGCCAGCTGGAACGCAGTGCCACACCAACACTCCTTGCCGTACTCCGTGCCAGCGAGCTGGAAGCCCATCGAGCCACAATGTGCAATACACTTCTCATTCGACATGCTCCCTGTGAAGTAGATGGATGGGTCGCCATCGAGTGTTCGAACGGCAGAGTCCTTGAAACATCCAAGGTACTCCCAGCCAGTAACCTCAAGAGCGGCTTTAGGTCCGCTGTTACTCGGAGATCCATTGCCAGATCCAGCGCGAGGGTTGCCAGAGCCTGCACCTGCGTTGCCGCCGGGTCCTGGACTTGAAGGGCCGGTGTTGCCAGGTGCTCCGTTGCCGCTTGGTGCACCTGAGCCTGAGTCATTACCAGATCCGTTGGCAGGGTTGCCGTTGGCAGGGTTCGCAGGGGAATTGCCATACCCAGCTGGAGGATTTCCGTTAGGTGCCGGGGAGACGGGACTGGGAGGTTGTCCAGGGCTGGCTGAAGGAGTCGGGTTGGAGGGAGGGAGAGCAGAAGATGCAACCGGCGGTTCGGGGACGTTGGCAGGACCACTGTTTCCAGAACCATCTCCAGAGCCACCATCAGACCCAGATGGATTCGTGGGTTGGCCGCCGGTGGTTGTGCAAGGCGTTGATGCAGGGTTGCCAGGATTGCCGTTGTCTGCGTTGCCGTTGCCAGGATCGTTGTTGCCGTTGCCGTTACCGTTTCCATTGCTGTGACCATTTTCATTGCCATTGCCATTGCCGCTGCCAGAGTTATCCGGGCTGGGGTTGGGGGCCGAGCCGGCATCATTTCCTGGAGGGCCGGTGTACTGACCATTGCTCGCCGTCGTGCAAGGCGTAGACGCAGCCGGGGAGCCACCGTTGCCAGCACCAGAGCCACCATTGCCAGGCGTTCCGTTGCCGTTGCCATTGCCGTTGCCATTGCCGTTGCCATTGCCGTTGCCTCCGTTGCCATTACCACCGTCGCCAGAACCGTTATTGTTGCCACCGTCTCCGGTGCCACCATTGCCAACTCCAGTGGGTTGGGGAGCAACAAAAGCTGTCACAGTCTTGATAACAACGACGGGAGGATCGTTTGCAGCAGTGGGTGCCATGTTGTTGCTTTCGGGAGCACAGTACCAGCCACCTTTGCAGTGGTAGCAAGGCCATCCCATCCCGCAGGGCGCTGGCAGCATCGGGGTTTCCTCTGGGGGACAAAACCATCCATTGAGACACTCTGAACAAGAGTAGCCCCGACCAGGGCAAGGACATGAGCCGGAAGGAGGCTTTGCTGGGGAAGCCGGGCATGCAGGGCATTGGACAACGGCAGGGCAATCGGAAATGGGTATGACTGGTGTGCCTGGTGGTATGTTGTCTCCAGAGGAAGGATCTTGTCCGTCGTCAACTCCGAAGATCGAGCCGCCTGTTTGAGAAGTTGGAGAGGGGCTCTGTCCGTTTCCGCTGTTGGTTGGCGCGCCGTTTGGATTGGATGGAGGTGTTCCGGCGGCGATGGTCAATGTTGTCAGGGGGCTTGCTGTGGGAGCTGATGCTATCGGTGGACCTCCTGCGCCGCTACTTGCTTGGTTGGGGGCTTGAGTAGCAGCAGGTGGAGGGTTGGCTAGAGAGGCAAGTTAGTACACTTTGCAAATCACGATAGACTGTTTCTTACCTGGCTTGGGATCCACCGAACCTGAAGATTGCACAGGTGATTGAGGCTGGCCTGCTGAAGCAGTACTCTGTGGTTGGCCATTATTGCCAGGGCCTCCGGCTCCAGCTTGCGTCGAAGGAATGCTGGCAGGAGGAGTAGCGTTCGCGCCACCAGCCGGAGATGATGCTGCTGGGGGCGACTGCAAAGCTCCAGCTGTCAGGATTGCTGCAGGAGTGGAAAGGCCAACTTGAGAAGATACAGGAGGGTTGGCTGGGACGGCTGCAGAATTCGAAGCTGGCAGGTTAGATAAAGGTGCCGCCGGCGTGGCAGGAGGAGAAGACTGCCCAGGGCAAGGAACAGCAATGAAAGTAGGAATCCCGCTCTCATACTTGACTCCGGTGCAAAGATTTCCGTCGGTAGGCAAGTCTTCAGGGAGCTGGGGAGCCGTCGTTGGAAGCGGCATAATGACTGAAGCTGACTGCAGAACACTTGCAACTAAAGACGAGAGGCCTGGGACGACTGCGGTGGCACCGACGACGTCAGATACGGGAATTGCTGAGGGAAGGTTGTTAACAGCCGAAGGAATATGGCCGACAATGGATGATACAACGCTGACAAGCACTTCTGGGATGTTGGTGATGATTGAGGCGCCGTTGCCAATAGCCGCAGTAACTTCAGAAACCGGGATGCCGCCAACCACTTGTGTCGGAACAGGGACAGGAAGTCCAGGCCCGGTAGGCAGAGGTAGAGTGGAACCACCGACGCCGACGATGCTGTTGACTGCACTCTGTATCGGAGGCAGGAGTCCACCATTGGATCCTTCGACATTGGGAATGGCGGTTGGGATAACGGGGCCGCCGCCAGGGTGGAGTATGGACTCAACCGGCGCGGGTACAACTTTGGTGACAACCGGTACGACATTCCCCGGGTTGAGGATGGATGGAACCGGAGTCACCACTGCCGCAAGTGCTGAAGTCAAAGAAGCGAGCAGACTGGGAATGATATGGCCTACTTGAGGAATGACGCCGCCAAGAGGACCTTGCTGTTGTTGGTTGTTGGGAGTGGGTGGTGCAGCCGCAGGGAGAGGAGTAGTAATGGCGGGTTGAGCAGGACTTGCAATGGTGGTAGTTTGACCACCGCCAAAGATCCAAGGAAGGAATTGCCTGGCCTGAACGATGTTGTCCCTCTGAGAGAGAGTGGACTCGGCCTGGGATGGTCGAACAGCCTGGGTCACAGCAAAGGCTGTGAAGAGGGCCAAGATGACGAGGGCTATGCCGGCTGCTGTCTGGCTTTGGCGTTGTGAGGGCATCGAGGGCCCAGGGAGCCGCATGATGATGGTTCTTTGTTACTGAGAACGCACGAGAATAGAATGAGTGGAATGACGAGGATGTGTTGCGTGTAGAGCACTGCCCGAGGAAATGAAGGTTCCAAAACTTGAGTTCCAAGAAAACGAGCCAAAACTGAAGCGAGAGTGTGATGTGTTGGAGAGAATGAGATGTCTACGAGGTGGATGGAAGAGAGGAAGAGGTTGAAGTTGGGATGGGATGGGGATGAGGGGATTATATGCGGTTCGTCATGTTAGGAAGGCCACTGCTGCTCCTTCACGAAGAGGCGGAAACAGGAAGCAAGTGGTAGAGGAAGAGTGACAGAGGGCCTTCCAGATTCCCAGTCAGAAGCTTAAGAGAGCAGGAGGGGATGGGCCTCTCCTATTCTCTGCAATCATGTGCGGAAAGAAGAGTACGCCGGTAGATTTTGACATTGGCCATCGTGGTTCTGCCTGCATTGCATCTGCTACGCTCACCACTTCCAATTGGGCAAGTCAAGAACCAGCCGATAAATGTATACCTTTCTGTTGAGATATTAGCAGATCAGAAGCAGTAACATCCGGCCGCAAAAACAATAGAATGAACAGCTACAAAAGAAGTAAAAAGAAACAGGGGAGGGAGGGGGGATACTCACCTTAGAATTCACGCCCCTATTCGAATTCGAACAGCGCGCCCCTCGTTTCCAGCACGGAAGTCATTGGAGTGTTTCATTTAATATCGACTCTGCGTCAGAGTCGAAACCACCCGGCCAGTTGGCCGGATGGGTGCTGGTGACAGGAAAGGTGTATAGGCCCCCTAAGTACCGTTCCACCCTCCTTGGGAGGAAGGAGGCATGTGGAGGCGGGAAGGTGCTGGTGGGGCTGCTTCCTGATGATATTCACCTGCCTTAAGGTAGGTAGGTATCTGACCAATGGACCTTTCTGACCTTGACAACAACTTGCTCCTTGCAAGAAGGTACCTCCTGGTTCCTGGGGAAGTGGACCTTACCTTGCTATTGGATCTGGAAAGAACGGGAGGCACCAGTGCCATCCCTTCCCGCACTGCGACTCAAGGTGCTCTTCCCTCTCACCTCAACGTCTCGCTTTGGGATGCCTTAGTACATCCTGTGCCTGTTAGTGACAGGTGGGCACACATCTGACGGAGAAGGAAGAGACATCTGCCAATGCTGCTGGCCATATGCCACTGCTTCATTCATCCAATAGGTATCTCGCAAGGTCTACACCTGCTACCTTCATTATCAATGCGTTTCCGATTCCACCATGCCTTCCCACCTTTGTCTCGTAATGCTCATCTAGGTACTTTCTTGCAAAATATTCCTCCCTCCTTGGCTCTTGCATAATCTGTCGCCAGACGAGATCTAAATGGCACTCACCACACATCTATGCCTTGCTTTCGTCCTTACCCCAACGCTGGGTCTCGTCACCGCCCTTCCACTCCTTCTCGACGTACCCAAGCTCGCCCTTGACCTTGTTCACCGTCGCCTTATCACCAGTGTTTTTGCCAATATTGTCACTGTGGAATCTCATTAGCACATGACACCAGACTTGCAGCAGACGAAGCGACAAGGAAGAGAAACTGACCTAATTTTGATTGCCGGGTTTCCGTTGGCGGAGCTCAGCTTGATAACAATATTCAACGGCACCGACTTAGCACCCGTCTTCAAATGCTTGAAATCGTTCGTCAAAAACGTGCCAACACCAAACGTCGGTGTAAAGCCCGCCGCCTCGGAAATGGCCTGGTACTCCAAACACTTTTCAATATCAAGAGAGTCAGAAAACACCATCGTCTTCTTGTCCTTGATACCCTGGCTGTCGTAGTACGTCCGTAGCATCTTGACATAATCCGCCGGATCACCACTATCCTGGCGCACGCCCTGGAACAGCTCAGCATACGTCAGCAGCCTGCTCCCGTCCGCCGTCTTGAACTTGCTCTCGTCGCTGTCGAGAGCGTGCACCGGCTGACTAAACGACCTCAAAAACTCCTGCGTGCCAAACGTGTCCGTCAGCGCAATACCGAGCTTACCGCCGAAGCAGCCGACCCAGTACCGCAGCGCCAACTCTGTCGCGGCCTTGTAATCGTTGTGAATGGCCGCAATGCCCATGAACCACTCGTGCGCGACGGTGCCCACGGGCGGGATCCCGAAGCGCATGGCCAGGTGCACGTTACTCGTCCCCGTCAGCTTGCCCTTGAGACCCTTCTTCTCCCCTTCCTTGCTGGCCTTGACGAGGCCGCGGAACACGAGAGCCTGGGTGTGGTAGTCGCGCCGGCGGCGGGTGCCAAACTCGGAAAAGGTGCAGCCGGCCTCGAGCAGGCGCATGCCTTTACCGAAAGCCTGGTCCTCCTGGCCCTCGTAGCTCCAGTCCGTGTCCATGAAGCGGAAGTAGGCCTCGGAGGTGAGGGCGAGGAGAGGGATCTCGTAGAGGATGGTGTCGAGCCAGGCGCCCTTGATCTCGACGTGGAGGTCGCCAATGTCCGAGTCGGCGCCCGTGTCGTCGCCGACGGGGTGGAAGGTCGCGACGGCCTGCTCTCTCGGCCGCAGGCGGAATTCCTTGAGGAACTGGACGTATTCGTCGGTCAGGTAGGTGCAGTGGGTCTTGAGGAAGCGGTATTCTTCATCGGAGAGGGAGATGTTGCCGAGTTCTGTTCAGGTGCCGCACGGGGTGAGTCAGTCACAGGTGTTCTGCGTCTCGATAGTGGTGGGCGGGGGTTTGGAGGGGCTTTTCTCTCTCTCTCTTCTCTTTCGACTCACTTCGGATTTGCTCTTGGAGCCATTTGAAGGCAGCTCTCGAAAGCTTCTTCTCGGGTGTGCGGTTCGTGAATGCGTATGTGACTGGGATGTCTTTGAAGTACTTGAAGACGGCGCATTGCATCGTCAGCTTGTAGAGATCAGTATCCAAGAAGGATATGACGCCCTCAGGGAAAGGCGACGAGCTGTTGAAATCCATGGTCGCGGATTCCTGTGGTGTGTCGGTGGTGGTGGTGGTTGGATTCTGCGCAATCGCTACAACGTGGGAGTCGCGGTTGTAATGCGACGCAATTAAAGGCAAAAAAGGGCTGGGTTGGGTACAAGAAAAGATTGGCAGAAAAAAAAAAAAAAGAGTCTGCAGGCGAGGTCGGAATGCGCGTGTCACAACGGCGCGATCGTGACAAAGCTCGGAGCAAGGAGGAGGAGGGGGAGGGGGAGGGGTTGTGTACTTGTGAAAGAGGAGGATGACGAATCTGTGGGACTTTGGCAGCTGCTGCACGACACTCCTAAAACCAGCAAGCTTTCATGCCCAGGAATGTGACAGGATGGAAGCTGATTGATAAGGCACACTCATGGAACTTGCATTCACACTGTCAGATGGGCGAACGGATGGGCAGGGGTTGTCAAAGTTCCCATGCGACTTTTTAGTTGTCGCAGTTTCGACTTGGAAACGGGCAATGAGGGGCTGAAAAAAGGGCCATGGGATCCCCTGGAAGTTGGACCATCAAGGTAATTGACTTGTTACTTGGTGCCTCTGTCTGACGTTGGGGTGTTCACCACCTCTAACATATTGAGTATTCTTTCATTACCAAATTAATCAAGTACCACATAATAGGTTCGACAAGAAACATATTCAAGTCGAGTCCAAAGCAGAGAGCGCAAGTATGACAACCATCGGAGTTGGCCGGCGCATCAGTTTTGACGGGTTCCGCGCTTCCCACGACTAGAACAAGCAGCAGCCATCGTTCCATTTTACTGGCGCGCAATCATCACATTAGCCTTTGCAGACGGAAAGGGTCCAGCCATGTTTGCAGCCAATGATGCTCTTTGACGCTTTAGGGAAATCTCTGGGCTGCCGTTGCGGAAGACGCCGTGGCTAAGGTAAACCTCTGAGGTGGACTTATGTAAGCGAGAGTATGACATAAGCAGCAATAGCGGCGCATTTTTCGCCGAAAGAGGTACCTTGCATATGAAGCCACAGAGAAAAGATTCTTCTTGTAATAAGAATTACAGAGATTCTAGAAATCTGCTGGAGTATCGTACAGAGTTATCAACATCATAACTTTGCAACCAACTCCTTCAAGAATCAAGACTCAAGAGATGCGACTTGGCACTCTCGTCCTCTAAGACGCGTCCCGCCAGCGGGGTGGAGGGGCACATTGAGCACAGACCACACCTTAATTATTTTTTTGCATCCTCCGACCGCCGACAAAACTTTTTGGCAGCCGTGGATTTTTTTTATTTTATTTTTTGCCAAAGCAGGAAGAGCAAACAGAGGTCGCAGGAAAAAAAAAAAAAAAGACAAGCTGCATCACCCGCCAAACCTCGCCAGCCTCACCACCACCACACCGAACCCCACGAGGTTGCTTTCAACAGCTGCTCCTCGCGAGATTGATAGGTCCGATCAATCTTGCTACCAATTGACCACCGAAACCCACGATCGCAAGGCCTCGAGGCCAACCCACGTTCCCTTCGCAATGGACCTCCATCGCTGCCGCTTCGTCCCCTACCCGCCCTCCGCCATCAACGCCCTCGCCTTCTCTCACCCGTCCACCCGCTCAAAGGCCCAAGCGACCGCCTCCCGCCTCGCAGTCGGTCGCGCAAATGGCGACATTGAGATCTGGAACCCGCTAAGCGGCTCCTGGCTCCAGGAGACCGTCCTCCGCTCCGGCTCAGACCGCTCCGTCGACGGCCTTGTCTGGGCTAACGATCCCGACGCCAACTCGACCTCGCGTCTCTTCAGCATCGGATATACCTCCGCCGTCACAGAATGGGACCTCGAGACCGGCCGTCCCATGCGCCACGCCAGCGGCCAGCACGGCGACATTTGGTGCCTCGCTGCCCAGCCTCCCGCCTCCCCGTCCGATCCCGTCAAGCGCCTCGTCGCTGGTACCATTGACGGCATGCTCGCCATATACTCCATCGAAGACAATGACCTGCGCTTCCAGCGTATGCTTGTAAAGTCTCCCAGCAAGAAGGTTCAGATGGTCAGCGTCGCCTTCCAGTCGCGCCACATTGTCGTCGTCGGCTGCTCCAACTCCACCATCTGCGCCTATGATACGCGCAACGGCAACAAGGTGCGGACCATGACCCTCGGCGCCGACTTGGCTGGAGGCGCCAAGGACATCATTGTCTGGAGCGTCAAGGTTCTGCCTTCTGGGGATATTGTCTCGGCCGACTCGACCGGCCAGGTCTGCATCTGGGACGGCAAGACGTACACGCAGATGCAGCGCATCCAGAGCCACAAGCAGGATGTCCTCAGCCTTGCCACCAGTGCTGACGGTAGCGCCATCATGAGCGGTGGCATGGATCGTCGTACGGTTCTGTACAAGAAGACTTCTGGTGCCTCTGGCGCCCGATGGGGCAAGGTTTGGAGCAGGAAGTACCACGAGCACGACGTCAAGGCCATGGCTTCTTTCGAGAGCAACAAGATGAGCGTTGTTATTTCAGGAGGTAAGATACGTGATTCCCAATATTCATTTTGCGCTTACTGACTAGCTTCTCAAGGCCCTGACGCTTCCCCCGTCGTTCTTCCTTTCAAGGAGCTCGGCCGTGAGAACCACAGAACCCTCTCTAGTCTCCCCCAGTCACCGCCTCTCACCAGTGCTCCGGCAGCAAGATTGGTCGTGGGTTGGTGGGACAGAGAAATCCACATCTGGAAGCTGCAAAAGTCATTTGACGGCCTCTACGGCGAGGACGGTGCCGAAGCCAACGCAGACGCGAACCTCGAGAACAACCGCAAGCTCCTCAAGACCATCCTAGTCAAGGGCGAGTCTAACATCACTTCGGCCGCAATCACCGCGGACGGTTCATTCCTTGTGGCCGCCACCGGCACCGACGTCAAGGCCTTCCACCTGCAGCACCAGAACCCCACAAAGCCCTCGGACGTGAAGCTCGCCTCGGTCGCCGTGCCCAAGACCTTCTCAAACGGCGCCAGCAAGATTATTCTGTCGCCCAACGGCAGCTACATCGCCGCCGTGCAAAAGGGATCCAAGGTCCTCATCGCCAAGGTCATCCGTGGCGACGACGACGACAACACCATCACCATCCAGAAGCCTCGCGTCGTCCGCCGCCTGGACCGCAAGACCTCCAAGCAGCAACCCCAGGCTGGCCTCGGCAACTATGAGAGGACCATCACTCAGCTCGCCTTCTCACCCGACAGCCGCATGCTCGCAGCCGCGGATCTGACCGGCTACATTGATACCTGGGTCCTCGGAAACCCGCAGGACACCACCTCAGACGAAGACGACGACGAAGCCGCGTCATCGGACTCTGACAGCGAGGACTCGTCAATCGAGGACGACACCGCCTCAACCGAGAGCTGGATTCGTAACCCCCGCGCAGCCCTCATCCCCAGACTCCCCGCACCGCCCGTGGTGCTCTCCTTCTCAGACGAGACTGTCGCCGCCACAGACGGCGCACCGACGACAGACTACACCCTCGTCGCCGTCACGACGGCATGGCACATCCTCGCCTTCCACCCCGTCGCCGGCTCCCTCACCTCGTGGTCCCGCCGCAACCCCATCTCCAGACTCCCCGCCACCATCCGCGACACCCGCGACCTGGCAAAGGGTCTTCTCTGGCAAGGCCCCCGCATCTGGATCTACGGCGTCTCCTTCCTCTTCATGCTCGACCTCTCCCAGGACCTCGGTATCCCCTCGAACTCAACGGACCAGGATCCCACCAACGCCGCCCTCGTACCGCACGCGGCCGGCACGAAGCGCAAGCGCAGAGGCGGACCCGAGAGCGGCGCCGGCGCCCGGATGGACGTGGGCGCGATTGTCCCGCAGCAGGTCGACCGCTTCGTCGGCTCCAAGGCCGGCGGAAAGGAATGGCAGGACGACATTGAGAAGAACGCCCCCTCCAAGGACGAGGACGCCATGGACGTTGACGGTGCCGAATCCAGCGGCGACGACGACGATGATGATAACGAGCGGGAGAATGCTAGCGATAGCGAGGGCGGCGAGCTCGCGGCCCTGCGGAACCGGAACCGCGAGACGCAGACGGAGGCGGGCGCCGAGGGGAAGACGAGATGGTGGTATACGTACAAGTACCGTCCCATCTTGGGCATAGCGCCCCTTGCTGGTGCTGGTACTACGGGAGCCGCAGCCGACGGGGAGAAGACTGAGACTCCTTCGCTCGAGGCTGTTCTTGTTGAGAGGCCTATTTGGGAGGTGGATCTTCCTGCGAGATACTTTGGTGCCAACGAATGGGAGAGGTGAAAGGGGGCGATTGTCTCTGTTTGAGGTACCCTTGTTTGTCGTGGACGTTGGAAAAAAAAAACGGTGAAGAGAGGGAATTCGGCTTGGAGGGGCGGACCAGGTCTGGTGGTCTAAGGGGTGAGGGTAGACGCGGGCACATTGAGCCATGAGGTATCCTGGAGTTGCTACTGTTGGTCTGAATCTGTTCAGTCACGCAGTTGTTCGTTGTCTTACAACCGTCCCCTGACCTACTGAACGAGGGTACCGCCCAAGATTCCAAGCTTAGTCTGCATATGTCGCATTAGGTACCTATTTCGGTTCTCTTTCGGCGCTACTTGCTCCTAGGATCTGAAATCTTTCTTGTGTATGGGTACTAAAGGTAGACTAAAAAAAGTATAGCATCAAATGGATGTAGATGGAACTTTGATATATTGTACATTTTCTCCTATATTGCCCATGTCACTTGCTCTCATTAGTCCTCGAGAGCTCTCTTGATCACTACTGCTTTCGCTTCCGCGTTCCACTACTATAAACATCATGTTGACCAGATGGTCTGTTTCGACCAAATGTCGAATGGGTTGGCAATCGATAGTGGAGGCCCTTGAGTTTACAAGACAGAAGGGAGAGCAGTCGGATATAGATGCAAGTTAAAAGAGCCAAGAGTGCTACTGCGTGTACAAATACTCTACGGAACCAAGGAAGAGCAAAGACCAGAACGAGGATGAGAACGTACGAGAAACATGTGAGTACATGCGAGGACGTATGGCTGGCTCGTTCGCAGCGTAAGCAGGAAGTGAAAAAAGGCCGCGCAATGCCTTCGTTGTCAATATGTCTTGGCATTGAGGCAATGGCCCAGATTGGAATGGGATCGCACAGTAGAAGCTTACGAGCCTAGCCTGGATCAAACATGGACTGCCAAGGAAAAGGACTAGTCAGAGGAACTACCTAATACGCGGATTCATGTATTGTTTGGCGAACTATTTGCTCTGTTGGTTGGAAGCATTTGTAAACTCGTCTCTCTGCTCTCTTTTTTCCTCGATTAGACCGTCTTCATTTCTCTAGTGTCTGGAAACAGTTGAGGGATGGATACAGATAGATAGAAGATTCACGTTTAGTCTCCATGCTGTTTGTTTGATAGATTATTCAGTCTTCTGACGAGCAAGAATAAATGACGAGGGAAGAGTTGAAATCATGACAGCTACATGCCAAATATCAATCGTCAAATACCAAATACCCGCACCCACGCATCTATCATCACGACATCGGGATGGTTGTTTCCATATAGACATCAATACACGTCATAACACCAACATAGACAAACCAACACTTCTAGTCACCAAAATATGCCGCGGGAAGCTCCATGCTAGTCTCCACGGATACCTACTCCATCAAACATAGAAATCCGAAACCTCTCTTACCTTTCCCTTCCCGCACCAGGAGGCAAGTCCACATCATCCATCCTCGGAATATGGGCACCACCACCCAGCTCCCAAAACACCTAGCGAAAAAAGCTTGTCTCGCACATCCGTAAATCGCCCACTTCGCCTACTTCGCCTAACAACAAACGAACAAAACCTTCAAGTTACCCATGCCGTACAGCCGGTGTCGTTTATCATATACTCGATGTCAACCCAACAAGGCTACCTGCCTAAGCTCGACCAGGACCAGGACCAGGACCCCCGTTTTACCCGTCCTGTCTCGGTGTCGCCTACCTAACCGTGCCACCTTACGGATATTCGTCCCTCCACCTCCTAGCCTGCTGCCTCTCTAGAGTCTCTCCACCCTCCGTGACGTGGGGTGTAGTAACGAGGTTTGCCCCCAAGATTGGGCCAGCCCAACACGAGACCGAGGTGGCAGTATTCGTACTTACTACTCCATACTCCGTAGCCCACATGATGTAGGTATCCGTATCCGTAGACGCTAGGCCAAGAGGGCCCGAGTATGTGCCAGGATAGAGTAGCGAAAAGGTACGTGATGGCTTCACTCTCGGCCCATCTTCCTTCCGTACCGCGCGTCTAAGCCTTTAAGGAAGCAGAGCTTACACCAGAGAAAGCGCCCGCGTACCCGCGTGGTAGGTGAACACGCCGGCCGGCTTGTAAGACGGACGGACGGACGGACGGACGGACGGTAAGGCTACTCGGCCTTGCCAGCTGACTCGGCTACTTAGAGCCGTCAAAGAGCTCGAAAGTGAGGCGATCAAGACCACCGAAAAAACAACCAGCATACGCAGCGACCGCCAGCACGCCTTGGGCTTCAACCTTTGCTTCTCGCCTGACCGATACCTGCCAGCAAAGCGTCATCCAGAGTCCTTGGTCCGTCCAAAAGGCAAAGGAGAAACCCACGTTCCCTTGCTCTCCCGCAATTTACATGCCATCCGGTAGAGAAAGCCAAAAACTACGTTATCGACGACGCCACGGGTATCGGGATCGAGGACACACCAGATGGAGCCAGTGCCGCGTAGCCCGGCACCAAGTCAGAGCTAGAAACCAGAAACCAAACCAGGCTTACGTAGTTTAAGCTTCAACCTCGCCGTCGAGGCCAACCCTGTCGGGGAGTGTCAAAGTCTCTCTCTCTCCCTCTGTCCATCCGTTCACGCCATGCTGTCAAACGTCGGCCACTCGACCAACCTTGACGACTTGATAGCCTCGCTTGTTGCCGTGTCTCTCTAACCCCCGCCAGCCGGAGTCTACTCCTGCGTCCTCGGGACAAGAACCCCACGAAGTCTGAAGGGGATATGACGATGGACAGGATAGATCATAGCGACGACGGTCCGACAGGCAAGGGGGACCGTAGGACAAGGCACCGAGAAAGGAAGACAGACTTCGGTCTTTCTCCACGTTCCCCCACGACCCGTTGCCCAAGTGCGTGCGTCATCCTCAAATCTCAAAACACCAGATCACTCTCCCCGTGACACGAGGCTTGTGTACGACTTATACGCGAAAGCCGCGCTGGACCGGACCACGCTGCTGCAGTGCTGACATTGACAAGAAGCAAGAGTCAGGCGCAAAGCAAGAGCCTCACTTAATTTGACGTTGCCGTCGTCGGCCCTCTAACACGGGGGGCGAGAGGGATGGAGGGTCCAATATCCGCTTGGCGTCGTGGCCTTAGTGGATTCTTATTCTTCGTCCAACAAAGTCCCCCCGAGCCCCGAACGGCACCGCCGTCCCGTACGAATACAGAGCCATACTCTCGAGTCTCTCGGTAAAGGACAAGGTGTAATATACGCCCAACCCCCGGACAAGGCCACGGGCAAGTAACCTATCAACCAGCTTCAATTAGCATATCCGGCAAGATCAAAAACAAAAGACCGGATGAAAAAGAACCGGGGCTCTGGATAGAAGTTGGCTCAGATATCCCACCGGGATTCGTTGTATTGCTCAGCCCAGGGCATCCTTCTTTGTCCAAAGAACCAATACCTTAATATCTCGCCTGCGGGCGAGAGCGAGCATGGCGGCTGAGAGAGGTTTAGAGGGCGGGCATCGAATGACACTAGCCCAAATTGTCTAGACGGTCGTCGTCCTTCTCGAGTCTGATCTGCATCCATGGGGGGAACGGCGAGGGACGGAAGGGGGTCCAGGGTACGCGCGTCCCGCTCGAGGTTTCTTCTGGCCGCCCCCCTCCCTTGTGAACAAACGGCGATAGACCGGGTCAGACCACGCAAGTAGCCCCGGCAGCCTGGGTAGCAGGGCAGAGAGAAACACAGAGCAGCTCGAAGACAACGGCATCTGCAGAAAGACCTTTGTCTTGCCGTCTCTTCCTCTTTTCGAATCACGAAAGGTGACTGGGCGATAAGTGGTGTGGCTTGACTATCCCGAGGCTGGTTTACCAGAAAGATTCTGAAGCGCGGCTAACGTGTAATTGCGACTGCAAAAGGGCACCCGGAAACTTGGGGGCGGGGCGCCTGCGGGCAGCGGTGAAGGGGAAACGAAAAGGTAACGAAGATTCAGAGGCACGAAACCTTGGACGAATCAATGGTTCGTCATCTCGACATTTGGGATCATGGCCAACCCGGTTTCACAGATCGAGGGAAGGGGCAAAATGGGGGCCAAGAGGACGATCGAATACGCAGCCCGGGGCGGAGTCCAATATGATTTGAATGTGCTGGAACTGAGAGTGCTGGAAGTAAACGACACGTCTTGTGAGAGCATGAGTCGCGATCTTGCACACTCGTGACAAGGCCGGAGGATGCTAGGAAGAAGGATTCGTAGCCCTTCTCATTTTGAAGTTCGCGTAAATCGGAGTCCGGCTCTCTCAGTCGGGATGAGGACGATCCAATCAGATCCCCGGTTCCATCGGGCTATGCCGACTCTCGACTAGGTACAACTCGATGCCTGTGTCTTCATAGAGTCGGGAGGGCCATAAGAGACTTCCGATGTCGTTAGCACTCGTTCGTCCCATTATGGAATGAAATGCCTTCATCGTGCAACCTTCCCGCTGGCGACACGTTACAACAGCCTAATCGACTGGGTTGTTTCCACTGAGATGTTTCGTTTTCGTGTCTTAAAGAAAGTCGACCATTTGAGCAACTGAAAGCATTCCGCACACATTCAATTCCTCAAAACACCAGCCAGCCCGAACGAAAATATGAAAGGTCCGAACTCTGCAGACGGGAGGTGGGAGGAGTGTAATTGGCCGGTCACGATGCAGGCCCCCTTGGCAACTCTGCCGAAAGCCGACATGGACTGATGGAATGAGAGGTGTCTTGAGCCCCAGAAAGCTTTGGTAAGGAGTACCTGTAGGTAAAATTGACAGTCCAGTCATAAGGTGTTTCCGTGTCCACCCCTCGCTGGAAGCTCTGCAGTTCTGCTCTCTAATTTGTGAATAAGGCATTATGGAGAATTGCAGAGTCGCTTGTCTGCGACCTTGTGGAAAGTTGTGGCAGTTCGAGACGAAAGGAGTGCAGTCTGATGTGGGGTGGCAACGGGTTTGGGAACAACACGCAAGCCACCATTGGAGCGCCGATGTGAGACAAGGTGGATGACGCGTCACTGAGCCGCTAAGGCCCACGCCCCAAGGGTCAA